TGAAGGGATGAATATGCGGGCCTTTGTGCTCAGAGATTAAACCAGTAGTAGTGGTAGGTGCGCCTGTTTCTTATGGAAAACTTTTTATAACCCACATGCACCTTTATAGTAATATGGGAGGGTGATCATGTTGTAAAGTACTTAAGTCTACAATCCTACTTTGTGCAACTGAACTTGACCAAAGTGGAACACTTCAGGGTAAACATGCATAGGATCAGGTTGTAAAGCGGCTTTTGGGCCAGAAGATTATCTAAATTTCCCAAAACAACTGCAGAGCCCAGACATCTTTGCAAAACATAATCTTTAGAACATACTGTACTCCAGATAAGCCTGTAAAGATACTTCTCAATAAAAAAAAAACCTCCTAAAATAGCTCAGTATCAAGATCACTTAATACCTATACTGTTTATGTTTTAAGTTCTTGTTTGGGTCATAGGGTCACTTCCAGGTGAAGGATTCCTGAATTTAATAGTCAAAATGCATTTTATACAGCTATCCCAACTTTCCCTCCCTTCTTTCCATTACAATTGCCTAGTCTGGTATAATACACCAACATGAATCCACCCCCACCCCCCTTTTCCATCGAATGTTGTGCAGTTAGACATCTCCAAAGGCCACCTTAAATCAATTTACTCAAAAATAAACTCTGTATTGGATATGGGTATTTCAAAAGTATTTATTAGTTTCATTCTTGAATTCTGTGATGAGTTGATTGAGGCAGTGTGGGAATAGCAGAAAGGATGGGAAGGAAGGGCAGGTTCAAATTTTTACTGACCACATCTGGGAAAAGAAAGATCTGTGTAAGCACTATGTGGGGGTAAGTATGGCAGTGGCTTGAGCACTGAATTCTAGAGACATTTTTTTCTGCACAAATAAAATCAGTTTCTATGGGGAGCGGGTGATGTGCAACCCTCTAGTTCAGGCATGGGCAAACTTCGACCTTCCAGGTGTTTTGGACTTCAACTCCCACAATTCCTAACAACCGCGTACCCTTTCCTTTCCCCCCTCAGCTGCTTAAGCCGGAGGTTGTTAGGAATTGTGGAAGTTAAAGTCCAAAACACCGAGTTTTCCCATGTCTGCTCTAGATGCACAACCCTCTACTGCAACATTGGTAGCTAATAGCTATGCTGGCTAGAGATGATGAAAGCTGCAATACAACAAAAACTGGAGAGCCACAATGTTCTGTAAGAAGAATATAGGATCGACAATCAACAAGCCTACCTTTGCCCTATAAGAAGAATAGGGAGACTGGAAATGAAAATATCTGTTGACAAAGGAATATTCAGATAAGGCAGGTGTGCTCCTAGTCAGTTTAAAGGCAGATCAAGGAATAGGGAGAATCTGTGCTGAATGAGGTTACATTCCCTCTCAAGACTCAGATTTGCCGTTTAAGTTATTTTCTGGACTCAGCCTTGAATCTTGAGGCCCAGGTTCCTTCAAGTTTAAAGCTTGGGTGCCAGCTGAGTCCATTTCTGAATACATCCGATCAGACCACAGTGACACATGCCTTGGTTACATGCCATTTGGATGACATGCTGTGGGGCTGCTTTGAAGAGTGTCTGGAAATGTCAGTTTTTACAAAGAGCTATCACCAGAGCATTGGCTTGAATTCATTACAAGGATTACAAACCACCCATTACAACAGCTCCACTGGCTGCCAGTTTGTTTCTAGGCATAATACAAAGTGGTGGTTATCTATAATGTCTGATACATCTTAGGTGCTGGCTCATAGATTGTATCTTTCAACAATCTAACAATTTCTGCCCAGACCCTGAGATCTGCAAGAGAGGGCCTTTTCTCGGTTCTACCACATTCACAGGCATGATTGGCGGAAACGTGAGAAAGGACCTTCTCAGTGGCTGCCCCACACTTTGGAACTCTCTCTCTATGGAGGTTAGAATGCCCACCCTTCCTCACTGTCATTTTTTTTTATTCAGAGACTTTTAGAAATGAATTAGTTGTAAGTGCTGTATTTATTTATTTAAAACTTTTATATCCCGATTTTCTCACCTCCGTAGAGGGACTCGGACTGGCTTAAAAGAACCCTTCAGGGTATCTGGTTTTTAGTTTAATTCAGTTTAATATGAGGTTTTATGAGTTTAATTGTATTATTTTTAATGTGTAAGGCTATAAACCATCTTGAGGAAGAGGCAGGATTGTGAAAACTATTGAACAAGTTAGTTCCTTCATCATGGATGCTTCTGAGGCATACCTTTTAATTAACTCATGAAAGTGAACACCACTGCATGCTCTAGAACAGCGTTTCTCAACCCCTGGAGGAGTCGAATGGGCATTTCAGAGGGGTCGCCAAAGACCATCAGAAAATACATTGGCAGATAAGGCTGAAGATCTCTCTGCCTGTCCTTCTTTTTCCTTTTGGAAGAGAATCCTCTCACCAAAAGCCCTCTTCCACTGTGATTGCCCGGCCTCTCGGCTGGCCTCTCAGCCAAAGAAAGGGCTGTTTCTGAGACTCCAAGCAGGGAGGGGAAAGCAGGTGGGCTTGGTGCATAGCAGTGTGGTGCCCATGCATGGTTGAGGGAGAGCGTGCGAGGATGGAGGGAGGCTCGCAAGTCACTTCAAGGCAGGGAGGGAAAGCGCCTGCATGACGTGGGACTGAGAGTGGCCCAGCAGCATCAGAAGCAGAAGCAACTTGGGTAATTTGTAACACTTTGTATTAGAAAAGTCAGTGTATCCTTTTGTTTTTATTAATGCTCCCATTAGAAAGTGCATAAGGATGTAGGTGAACTACAACTCCCAAAATCGTAGGTCAATCCTCCTCAAACCCCACCAGTATTCAAAGTAGGCCACATTGGGTCTGTGTGCCAAGTTTAGTCCAGATTCATCATTGTTTGTATCCACAGTGCTCTCTGGATGTAGATGAACTACAACTCCCAAACTCATGGTCAATGCCCACCAAACCCTTCAAGTATTTTCTGTTGGTCATGAGAGTTCTGTGTACCAAGATTGGTTCAATTCCATCGTTGGTGGAGTTCTGAATGCTCTTTGATTGTAGGTGAACTATGAATCCCAGCAACTACAACCCCCAAATGACAAAATCAATCCCTCCTAACCCCACCAATATTCAAATTTGGGCATATCAGGCATTTGTGCCAAATTTGGTCCAATGAATGAAAACACATCCTGCATATCAGATATTTACGTTACGATTCGTAACAGTAGCAAAATCATAGTTATGAATTAGCAATGAAAATAAGTTTATGTTTGGGGGTCACCACAACATAAGGAACTGTATTAAAGGGTTGAGGCATTAGGAAGGTTGAGAATTACAGCTCTGCATTGTCAGCAAAAACTGCCTCTTCATTTCCCAGTACTATGTGATCCACTATCCCCTGCAACACAATCCAGGAGATGTGCATTGACAATATATGTTTTCTACATGGCAATTTACTGCTGTATTCCCAAATGCAAGGAATCACAGAATTATATGCCACCTGTCTCCACTTGTACTGTAATTTGAGGCACTTTGCTAGTGCATTATAAATAGAAATTGTGCACACATGCATATTTCCGGAAGCAATTTTTCAGGAGCCCTCTAAAGCAGGATTCATTGCTTTCGGGTACCTTCAAATTCTTTCTCGGTCATCTATGTAGTGGTGATGTAGTTTGAGTGTTGGACTTCAACTCTGGACACCAGGGCTCAATTCCTCACTTGGCCACCGAAATCCATGGAGTGACTTGGGTCAAGTCACACACTTTCAGCCCCAGAACCCAAGGTGAACCTAAGCTGAAAACTACTTGAAGGCATGTGACACATCTAACTAACCAAAAACACATCATTAAGATTTTATTGTCTTCTATTCTGCAGGACAAGTATATAATTTTCCCAGTTGCATGACTCACCTGGCCTCATCTTTTTCAGTACTGAATGCTACCAATTTTCTCAATTCTGTAAGACAATAGGTATGAATGCAATGGCAATAGAACTTTAAGATATTCCTCCTAATGCAACATTTCTCTTTCCAGGGCTTTTGCAACAAGTAAACAAAAAGACTATCACTTACAGCAGTTTTGTATAAACCCCAGGGAGCCCAGGGAAGCTTACAGTACATGGCCCTCTCCATTCCCTTCACAGTATCCTCATAACAAAATTGAGATTAAGATATGTTCAAAAGTCTCCACAAAAAGCTTTATATTTTAAAAGTGAATTGACTCCCAATCTCCTACACCTGGGTTCCAATACTCTAAGTCAGTCACTGTAACATGAGCATTTTTCAAAATTCACTTTTGGGGAAAAATCCATGATCTCTCTCCCTTTCATTAGTTAAACCAGGGGTGGGAAAAATATAGAAGAATCACTCTCCACGTATATGATTTTATTTATTTATTTATTAACGACATGTCTACCCTGCCTTTCTCACCCCAGAGGGGACTCAATTTTCAAAGACCAATGTGAGAATATGCCCCATTTTTTTTTTTGCTGAGAGATTCAAGAGGTGCAGTGTGTCCCTATACACCTTGAAGTTAACTCTTTCCTGGCTATTCACTTTCAGAACCCACTTCTTAAGTGCTACAGGAGGCACGAACGACTGTATCAAATGTATAATGTTTAGTTCTGGAAAAGGAGCTATTTAGAGGGGTTTAAAATTCATTACATCTCTGGTAATCCTGTCTCATACCTTATTTTATCACTACAAGCAAGGACTATTGGCTGGAATCCTTTGCAGCCTTGTTTTAGCCAACATCGTGCACTTCCTTTCCTGTATTCAAAGCCTTTCTTCCTAGAGGACAGATGATTGTTGAACTGTACAATGAAACCAAAGATTGAACCCAGTGATAAAGCCAAAAACAAGACACAAATGTTGATCAGGTGTGTGTAAACTTTTGCATTTACTTCCTTAGCTCTCATTGGAGCACAAGTCCCAGCACTCTTAGCAATGCTGGTCTTCAAAGGTGTGTGATCCAACAATTACTGGAGAAGTATATGATTTCTTATAAAACCTCATAGCAAACCAGTTATACATTTCCATTGAAACAGGAACTCTGTGAAACAATACTTTATTCAATTTTACTTTCTACATCTAGTGACAAAATAGTTTGGATCCCACATAGGATTGCCATTTCTGCTGTAAAGTACCATAAATGATAGTTATATAAAAATTATTAAATTCAAATGTCTTTTCAGGCTGCAGGTTTTTGCATTCAGATAGAACCTGTGCATTTCCATGCTCTGACAAATAGATTTTAGCACATGCTGATTTAAAGAGCAGCTTAATGTTATTGCATCAGAGATATCTGCAGATAAAAGCATCATCAGGAAAATACATTAAGAAACAAATTTAACCCTCATATTTCTTCCCATGAAACCCGCTGCAGAAAGTGCCCATAACACACAATGATCAGATGCCCTCTAGATGAGCATTTATAAAATGCAGCAATTCCACAAGACTGCAAAGCGGGCATAGCTCCAGTTCCCAGTTTTCCCAGCATATGCCAACCCTTTTGTAAATAACCTAAAAGAGATACAAAAAGATAACACATCTCTAAAAATCATTCTACCTTGCTTAGGAAATAATTGTAGTTATTTATACCCTAGCTCTTTGTCAATGGTCATATAGTCAGCATCCACAGAAACATAGAAAAGAAAGCAACACTGAAGAGCAATGACAAAAAACACATTGAATTCTAGAGAAAGCTGCTAAAAACATATGTCTGCCGTAGAAAGGAAACCCAATGTGTGCACCAACCTACAACCAGCAAATACCATCTACATGGGGAAATGAATACAGCACATTGTGTGCAAAAAAGAGGTGCACACAAGCCAGTTGTGTGGAGGATAAAAAGCAAGATTCAAAAAAAGGGGATAATGCAAGAGGAACTACATGTCTGGTCTCATAAGATATCTTCATGTAGTGGCCTGTATGCAGATTAATGTGCCCCAAATTCTGTATCAGGGCAACATAATATAAAGTTTTATATTGTTTTAAACTAACAGTATTAAAATATGCTTTTGTAAAATATATCAGTAAGCATTTCCCAATTACCTATTTACACCTCAACACCATTATTCCCATATTTACAGGGCTGGATCTTGAAAACATTGAACACAAAAGCTTGTCCACATCCACACACACTGTAGCCTTTGCGATTAGCAGTGTACAGATTGATTTACAATCCGCTTGTCTCAAACTACACTAGTCTTTAAATAATACACATTTACCACCCTTGTATTTTAAGAACTGTGAAAGAATGAACCCTTTCCATCAACCACATTTGGGTTTAAAACTATACAGTCCATACTACCACTATTTCATGTTACAACTGTTTGATATCCAAGTGTGCTGATTGTACCAATCACAAAAGGAGTTATGTATTCCCTACTGTGAGAGTTTGGTGGTGGGAATTGTTTTCAAATATTAGCCACTATAAAATTAATATTCCCACACCCCCAAAACAGAATCAAAGTGCTTATGCATTGCTGGCACATTTTCAGAAGTTATAGGTATAAGAAATAAAAAGCAAAAGGGCTAAAAGACAGAAGCGGGAAAGCTAATCCAGCAACATGGAAGACAACTGCAAAGCCCTCTAATACAAGCACCCGCATGTCTCGTGAAGACAGAACATTGGTTGCAGCCCTGAAAATACCTTTTCACAGTCCCACTAATCAAGGTAAGGGAAGTTTATTCAGGATTAATCCCAGCTGTGGGGAATGCTGACACAGATAAAATCTCTCTTGTTGCTGACCGAAGTGTAACTTTGGTGTTGATGGGATCATTTTCGGATGCAACCCAGTGTATACACGCATGTGAGGAAGTTTTCTTTAAGTTTTCCAAGAAGACCCTTATGATGAACCCAGGGAAAATTTCTTGGCATCTTAACAACCTTAATACATGTATACATGCAGAGAAATGATTTAAATATAACCCCACGAGTTGAAAATGTTAGTGTTACAAATTATTCTTAATGGGCGGAGATTAAACTGAGGGATATAACTAACTCATTGTAGGCAGCGGATTGCAATTCTGTGGTTGGCACCGAGGAAGAGATTTCTTGCAAAAGTTTTTTCACATGGCTTTCACTTTGATTTGCTTCATTTTCATTTGCTTCTTCTCGAGCTTCTTCTGCTCACGCCGCAAAGCAGCCTCCTGTTGGAAAATAGAACACGTTGTATGAAATTATCAGATCCTGTGTTTCTTTAGAGGGCAAATCAGGAAACCAGTTAGAAACAAAGGCTTCAAGGAAATTCAGTTAGCTGTGCAGATTAATGGCTCTTCTCAACAATCATTCTGTTGTGCAACAACCGTGCAATTGTTACTTTGTCATTGTGAGTGATTCACAGATCTCTTGAGGCAGGGAAAATTAAATTGCTGCCTGGAGCATTTCTCTTATGATAGATAGGAAGGAACATAACATAGGATAGAACCTGTTTCCCAAAAGGCAAGATAAAAATTCACTTCCTAAAGAGATGGGAGGGGGAACAAGATACAACTTTCTAAGGAGAAAAAGGCAATCAGAGCATACAATCAGGTAACACAGATGCCATCTGAATCTCCAGGAATGTCAGTCTCCTAATATATAACAAGACCCAGACTGAGAACTGAACTCTCTTGAACTTGAAGGAAATTGGGAAGAATGCCATCCTGTCTACAAAAACAAAACAAAAACAAGAAGTGTACTATGTGAGAATTTCCTTTTCCCCTTTCACAGATAGGAAGGCATATGGCGTTGGCAGTACATTCTAAGGAGAGAGCCCACATATCACAGCAGTTACTGTTTCCTATTGCTTGAATATTTGTAAAACTGCTCAAAAACAACTCTGGCCAAGACAAAAGGTTTCTACCATTTAATGTCCTACTAATATATGTCTGACAGATTTCTTGTAAGCAGTCTCTCTCCCGAGAGATGAAGGAAATTATAACACTACCAATGAAATGGACAAAGATTCTATCTGGCATTATTAGACCTGACAAGGAATATGTCAAAGTGACTATCTATTTATGTGGTTTCCACCCTTTTTAAACCACAGATGTTTCAAACTTCAGTTCCCAGAAACCCCAACAAGCATAGTCAAAGGCAAGAGATTCCATGAAGATGAAAAAATGTGGAGGACCAAACTCCAGTACACTTGGACAGCCAAGAGATTATCCTACAAAGAACAAAAGAAGGATAAACACAAAGGTCTGTAGTAGCATAAGGGGTTTGAAATACATCTTCAAACACTAAGGTCGCACTACATATTGAGAGTACTTCATTATGTTGCCTTCGAGTTGGAATGTAATTGAGTAAAAGGTGGTGCAAGTAGAATACCTCAGAAAACCAAACCATTCTTGGGTGACATTATGAAGAATATAGACATCATGTAATCATGTCATTCTGATGTTTCATCTCTTCTGACAAGAGTTCCTAGATTCACACTGGGTATACAGGCATGAGAAAGAAGATCCTGACTGACAAAATTATAACCATACACCATTACAAGCTTACAAAGGAACTACTTTTAGAATTATTCATCTCTATGTGATGAAAAAATGGAGGAGACAATAGGAGCTATATTTAAGACTAGAGGATGCAAGATCAAGAGGCTCTGTAAACCTGCAGGACTTCCTGAATTTACAGCTTACTGCTCTTGTTTTGTGGACAAAACCTTGAATTCAGGTCATTTTGGAGGAAAAGCAAACTGACTCAGATGGCTCTAGTATATATATTTGGTTTTTCCACTTTGTTGTGGTGTCAATGAGTAGATTCCATGCTTAACACCAGGACAACAAAAGTTATAACTTTCCTTACCCCTAAGACGGCAATTAGGAACTCAATGCTACAGGGGAGGTAGATGGAAGAACAGACTGAGATGATGTGGAAAACAAAGCAGATCTGGAACTATAGGAAGCTTCAATTGTTCTACTGCAACTTCCACCAGACTGGAAAATCAGGGAGATCTGTTTCCACAGCTCTAGCTGGTCTTGGAAACAGTGTAAACATCAAAAGAGAGGCAGGTAGCAATGGGGTTCCTTTCCACCATAGAAGTCCTTTTAGAGAATAAACTGGGATAGAGGAAGAGACCTGGCTTCAGCAGAAAATTAATTATAATTTTGCACATTCACTTCCAGACTTAATCAAGTGCTGAATGCTGTTTCCAAGCTGAGATTATCAGCTTGGAAAAACAGTACATCTACTTATCAAAAGTCAGTTTCCCTGGATTCAAAAATTATCTCAGAAAAGATCATTTTTATTATGTGTGCAGCTTTCAGACCTCAACACAAACTGACCACTGTAAGGATCTGCATCACCCTGACCTTTGAAAATGTAGGACAAAGCACATGGTTTACATTCTACCCCACTCCCACAATGGTATACATGTTTTGTTCCTAAAGCTTTAATATTACTCTTACTGCATCTGTAGAAGAGGGTTTATATTCACGAGAACCCATGCCAAAATAAAAACCAATTTGTTCCCCCCTACCCACCTTTTCTCCTGCCTTTCCTCTTTTTCTACTAACACAAGTAGACTAGTGAGAAAAACTTTCTGCCTTGGAATAGACAAATGAAAACAAAAAAAAAAAATAGAAGCAACAAAATGATAGAGATCCATAACATGCACTCAGAGAGACTCTTCCTCCACAGAATTCATGAACCACCAAGCAATTGTATTTCACTTTTTGAGTGGACCAATGAGAGTTCTGGGAAGCAGCCAGAGTTGCTCTGTCAACTTTCCACTCAAAACTTGTATTTTGAGAAATGCTATCTAAACGTTTGTCTGTCCTAATGGGCTTTCTCAAAAGCAGTCTCTCTCATACAGGCAGTACCTTGAACTGCCTGTATGAGAGAGACTGATTTTAAGAAAGCCCATTAGTACAGACAAACGTTTAAGATAGCATTTCTCAAAATACAAAGTAAGTTCTGTAGGTTTGTTATTAAGCTGAATTTGCTGTAAGTCGGAAGAGGTACACTTTTAACTGTAACTCCAGCCTCCAAAAATACTTTTGGATAGAATACAAAAGGTTTAACATCCCTATAACATTAGTTTTGCTGTCTGTGCTCCTGTTCACAAGATTTTGCCTACTTGCTTGTCCTTATGACAATTGGAATTTGAATTTTCCCCCCAGAATTTGTCGGCTCAACTTTCACCAAACATTAAGGAGCTTGTATTTAAAATGTTGCTTACCTCCAGACGTCGCTGCTTCTCTGGATCTTCTTCATTCATGATCCTCTCTTTTTCTGCCCGTTTCTTTTCTTCCCTGCGGGACTGAGCAGCCTCTTGCCTTTGCACATGAGTCAGTTTCAGAAAATTCTCTTCTACGCGTGCCCTGTTCTTATCAGCTTTTTGTTTGCCCTTTGATCCAGAGCAAGAAGAGATGTAACTATTAGTATGAGCAAGCATTTTGTATGTCCCACAGCATTGCAGTGAACTAAACACATATGTAAAATAGCTGGCAAACATATATATAAAATATGCTGGATCGTTGTCAGGAGCCAGTTTACTGTAACATATTCATGTTCACCAAGGTAGATTTTTTAAGAATACAGTTTTAGGACATGCAGTACACAGTGCTTCGCCCTTCCTAATAAGACTACAAGGCTCAAGTTACAAGTATCCAGTGTGGAAGTGTGACTTTTTCTATTAGAATTCCTATGAATTCTGGGAGCTGTAGCCAAAAAGAATAATTTCCATGCTTAGAAATCCTGTCCCAGCACTAGAATTAGCCTCCTGTCATCTTCCAAACACTATTTAAGATTCTGGTTGGACTTCTATAGCATCATCTGAACATCGAATGTAGTGCAGTCACTCTTGTCTTTTATTTACACCACAAGCTGTCACAAATAATGTTGGTCAACTCTGGTGAATGCAATAGTTTAAGCAAAGCAGAGGAAATTGTGCCCAGTTTTATAAAAAGGGGGTGGTGATGGTAAAGGCCTGCTACCTACTTTTAAAACTGCACTTTAATATGACGGGAGTGCACACAAAATATGATACAACTTACTTCTCTATTCAGACGGAACTTTTTTGCTTTGTCAATAGAGTAAATCACCATATTCATCAGAGGCAGCAGAGCTTCCATGTCTTTTGGGGAGGTATTGCCTGATCCAGGCACTGTAAAGCAAAAGGATACGTTCCTTAGATTAAAGTGCTTAGGTTGTAAAACTATAGATTGGTAGTAAAGTCTAAATTCCCTGATGTCACCAGATCTCATTTGATTTTGAAAGCTAAGCAGAATCAGGTTAGTACTCGAACAGGAGTTTGCCAGGTGCTTTCAGAGGAAAAAAACTGGGAAAGCCATGTCTGAGTATTCCTTGTCGAGGAAAACTCTTATGAAATTCATGGAGTCACCGTTGGTCAACAGATGACTTGTAGGAACATAGAAAGACACTAACATGACCTCACATGAACATATGCTATTTAGGTATTGATCAGAGGAGAAAAATGCTATTAAAAGCAGAACAAACTCCTATCCAGAATTGGAAGTTAAACAGTTTTTCAAATGCAAGACTTTACATCCACAGGAAAAAGCCATTTGAAAATCATAAACCTGCTCTTACCATTGAAAGTAAACAAAAGTGTTTTTTTAGTTTCTGGCAGTTTCAAAGGCTGACCTTCCCTAGTAAAAAAAGAAAAAGAAATAATATTAGAAGGATATTAAAATCCAATATTTAAGGGCAGCACAGCAATATAAGCAGAGCCTGGAAACATTTCTTTTCAAAGCCACTTGGGGACTCTGAGAGTTGCTGCCCAAGAAATAACTTTTACAAGATTTGCTGTCAAGGTCCATTGCCAACTTTTTATGAGAAGACAGTTTTGGATCTAATTTGGATAACTAAATAAAGTCTGACCCTGTTCTTTGAAAGCTGGTATTTTATTCTAGGAAATTTCTGTCAAAGATCATATGGTTCTAGGAGGGCTTTCAGGTGGAATGTTTCTTACCTTAAACTCACTGGGAAAAGTCAATGAGAATGATTGTAAACTGACAATAATTCATTGCTTCATAGAAAAATTGCTATGTCATCCAGAAGAAAGCATCACTGATATTCAATCACTGTACAACAAACAACATGAGAGCACTCAACCATGTTTATAAGCAGCCAAGGATCTGGTACAGCAATGTATTCCTTCTCCTGATTTTATTTATTTGTTTGATTTATATCTTACCTTTCTCCCAGAGTGGGATTCAAGGTGGTTGATAGGGGGCAAGTACCAAAATGTGATTACTACAGCTTTGCTTCAATACTGCTTATAACATGATGGGAAGACCACGGGGAACCACTAGGACAGGACACACTGTTTATTTCCATTTCCCCCTGCAATCAGGAAATGAGGCTGTATAGTAGCAAATGCTATATTATATTTGCTATAGCACCCCATGAAATAGTTGCTTAAATGGACAAAGGCATTGCTCTCATCAGAAACTCTTATTTCAGCATATTAACTATTTCTATTCCATGTGCTATAGAAATGAGTTCTGATTCAGAGTACAGCCCAAAACCCAATCTTGTCACAAACTAAATAAACCCCAGTAGTGACCATATTGGATATCTCAAACAGGAATTCTAAGATACACATTCCTCTGTAGTCCCTAGCCAACTACAGAATTTGCTTAGGACTCTCTTTCCCTTCACCTTTCATAAAATTCAACCCAACATTAATTTCCAAGCACAAACTTTGTTGTGTCATACTCACTCTTGCATAAGTTTTGGACCAGAAAACTGGTCTGAAAAATGGACGGACTCAATCTTGTCAGCATAATGTGTGAGAAAATGGATCATCTACAGGGAGAAATAAGAAATTTATTTAATTATTTACTGTATTTGTACCTTGCTCTATTTCACCCCAAAGGGGACTCAGAGCGGCTTCCAGTTGCTGGCAATATTCAATGACACATTGAGACATAAAACAGACAAATACACAACATATTAAACTTTAAAATCCAATAAAACATATAAATACAATTAAAATTAAAAGCTGTTAAAACATTGCACCTAACCCTGCCATCACAAACCAGGTCGCTTCGATTGGGTTAAAGAGGAGGACATACTTTCTTATGAAGCTACCGTCGAAAATGTCTAGAAAACGAGGAGTTTCATGTAAAACATAAGAGCAAACACCAAAAGAGCAGACTTGCAGAATCAAATAAAAGCTCCTGAATTTTGTTATTATCTATGGCTAGCCAGATGCCTCGGGTAATAGTATGAAAGTAAAAAGCTTTCCTTGTTGCTTTAGCCCCATTGCCCAGTATTCAGGTGTATATAGCGGACTCATTGTTTTTGATACATCTGCCCTCCATTAATTTGTATAACATTCATCTCTGGAATCTCTGCTCCTCCAGATACTGTTCAATTATACCTCTACCATGCTTCACTAATGGCTAGGGTGGTTGGGGATGATGGGAATTGGACTCCAACAACACCTTGAGGATGACAAACTCCCCCAATCCCTTGTCTAACTCTTAGAAAACAAAAACCAAGTCATCTAAATGGGTTTTTTTCTCCATGTCAGGCATGACTTGAGAAACTGCAAGTCGTTTCTGGTGTGAGAGAATTGGCTGTCTGCAAGGACGTTGCCTAGGGGACACCCGGATGTTTTACCATCCTGTGGTAGGCTTCTCTCATGAGCCTGCATGAGAAACTGGAGCTGACAGACAGGAGCTCACTCTGCTCCCCAGATTTGAACCACCGACTTTTAGGTTAGCAGTCCTGCTGGCACAAGGGTTTAATCCACTGCACCACTGGGGGATCCATCTAAACTGGTGACCACCAATGGTAGTGAATTTCCAGAGCTAATTACCAAAACCGCAAAATAGATAAATAGTCCGTTTCTACAGACACAGCACAAATTGCCTGCCATCCAAAATTACTATTTTTTCAAAAAGACAAGCCACCATTAGGTGGTATGGATAAACCACAAGGTATAAACATCTTAGAGATATCCTCCTTATGAACTTCTCCTTGGAACATTTGGCTGACTGCTTTTCCAAGAGTGTGCTGGGCTAGATTCACCACTGAACTGAACTGAATTGGCGCATCCTAACATTCCAAGAAGTCACGAAGAGTCGGAAACGCCTGAACGAATGAACTACAACAACATTCCATTTTGTGAATTTCACCAATGCACCATTTCAAATGATGTTATTTCATAACCTAAAGTCTACTGTAATATATTTAATCGTTACAAGTCACTAGTAATTATTCATATTGCATCATTCTTCTTTATCACTACTTAGTCTTCTGATAAAAGATATCTGGACTGAAAGCTACCCACTTGCCCAGATTTCTCCAGTGAGATTTAAGGTGTCTCATGTCCACCAGACAACATTTATATTATAAGAACAATTTTATTTCACTCAGCTATGTGGAAGCTTTTCCTCCTAAGCCAGACACACAAATTTTCAGAGCTATCAAGAGAAGAAAAACACCCTCCCACTCCCTAAACAACTAATAAGACTATTCCAAGTATAAGCAGTGCTGGACAGAAGCAAAGGAAAGTTTAGATGGTTGGGAACATTGTTACAGTTCTTATAAAATGCCACTTGATATACTTATATTTATTTATTATATTTTATACCACTTTTCTCAACCCCTAGAACAGTGGATTTCAGCCTGTGGGTCCCCAGATGTTTTGGCCTTCAACTCCCAGAAATCCCAACAACTGGGATTTCTGGGAGTTGAAGGCCAAAACATCTGGGGACCCACAGGTTGAGAACCACTGCCCTAGGGGGACACAAAGCAGATTCTAACATAATAAAGGGAAAAGATTAAATGCCTCACAATAATATAAAACAATATATTACAACTAGAACAATAACATAATTATATGTTTTTAAGCTGTTATGTTCCATTACCTTAGTATCCATCATTCCCTCTGTGACTTCACCCATCTCTGACAGGATAGCCAATGACTCTGGGAGCCCGTATTTTGCCCCAGTCTTAGGTTTATCACTGCAGAATTCACTCTGTCAGGAAGAAATTAACACTTAAGACAAATGCTTTGTATTTGCTATCCCTTGCTTAAGAAGGTGCCTGGTGACCCTAATAAAAATTAAGGAAGGAATTCAGGTTTCCAGTTTGGTGTGAGGAGGCAACCCTTTGTTGATTGCCTCCTCACATAATCACACAGTGAGTGGGTGAAACCACTGATGATTGAGCAATCTGCCTCCTCACACAATCAATCTATTCATGTGGCTCATAACATCACCACCAACTTTCTCAATCATCAGTGGTTTCACCCACTCACTGTGACTTTTTTAAAAAGCAGTCATATTCACAATCTCCCATCTTTGCATAAATTCACTATCATTAGCAGTACAAAACCCAATGTCTTATAATATATCTCTTGCCTACAAGGAAAAAGAGCAGGCATAATGATACCATTTCAATTCAGATTTTTAAAAATATAAATCAATTTCCTAAAAGCTTTCAGTTGGATTGCAACATTTTAAGGCACAAATACAAGAATGAAGACAGTGTCAATTTGACCCTTCTGTAAAACTCCATGAATGAGGAAGGGCAATTTACAATAAATATCTTGCCGGGAAGCATTCCCACGCATCCACCCACAGGGCAAAGGAACAAAAGCTCTTCCATTAATTCTTTCACACAAATGCCCCAAGAGTCCTTTCCACCGATACTACAGAATAGTTAATAAATGCAGATCACAAGATGGCAAGCATGCAACCCAGCGGTTCAAAGACGTGCAAAGACAACACTATAACAAGCAAGATTGTATCCAAAATACTCTCAGAAGTAATACACATGAAAATATAAATATTTACCACATATGAATTAAAAATGAAAATAACTGCACTTATGAAAACAACTGCACTTATGAAAATAACTGCACTTATGAAAACAATTTTTATAGCTCAATCTATTTCTTGAAATTACAGTATATTAAATTTTATTTATTTATTTATTTAAAACATGTTTATTCTGCCCTTCTCACCCTGAAGGGGACTTAGGGCACAGCACAGCATATACACGGCAAACATTCAATGCCGGGGCACAGATTCACATACAATACATAAACATTAAAAACATTTATCAAAATATTAAAATACACCATTTAAAACTATATTTTGACATAAAATATATCTTAAATATATTTTAAAATACATTTTGACATATTCTTTTTAATGTACTACAAGTAGTAGACTAAAGCATGCATCATTATAATTACTGAAAAGCTGAATTCTGGGTGTTTCATAAGTACTACAGAAACTTTGAGAATTAACTTTTATGAGTGACAGGTTGCATACAGTTAGTCTAATCGAAAGAGTATGGAGCCTATATTTATTCAGACTTTGAAATGAAGATATAAAACACAAAATATCATAAACTTTCAAAAGGGACCCCAAGCAGGAAGCAGCCAGGCTTTGAAGCTGCAAGGCTATTCAATGCTAATCAAGCTGGACAACTGCATCATACACACTTGCCTCCAACAGACAAGAGTTTTTTTCTCCCACCCTGGACATTTCAGAGATATATATACTTCACTTGCCTAGTTCCCAACAGACCTCACAACCTCTGAGAATGCCTGCCATAGATGTGGGCAAAACATCAGCAGAGAATGCTTCAGGAACATGGCCATGCAGCCCAGAAAACCCACTGCAACCCACTTGTCTTCTGTTTATATACTGGAGTTCTTTCCCTCCTTTGTCAAACCATCTCTTTCCTCTTTTCCGGGGCAAGCCAAAATACTGTGCACATTCAACTGTCACAGGAAATTATAGTTTCCTACAAGCTAGATGGGAAAGGAGTCACAGTGCTTGAGGGAGAGAAGGAAATGCATGGCAATTCTGAGGATCCCATCAGGTTTGTTCATGTGGCACCAAATCATGGTTTGCAAACAAATCTGAATAATTTCTGCTGAATTTTGCACAATGACCACAACAAATATGGAAGGTTTTGAGTTCTTACTAGGTAATCTGAAGAAATGTATAGTTAAAGAGTATTATACACATACTGTCCTAACTCTGGATTCCACTTTTCCCAATCCCCAATACATACCAGGTCCTGCATCTCCTTTTGAAGCCTCACTAAGGCTTTTCTTGTCCCAACAGCAAACACGTAGGTATCCATGTCATCATCGTTCATAGTAACTTTTATTTGCTAGGCAACACAAAAAAAGTTAATCACCCTATAAATCTTCACAGCAATATCCATTTATATCAGAAATGGTGAAGAATGAATAAAGATACCAGAATTGCACATTGCATTTTCAATACCATAAGTGGATCATGGCCATTAAACTAAATCAGTAGTATGCTGGAAATGGATGACAGGACAACATGGAAAATCATCTAAAGTATAATTAGGGGGGCATAAAATAAGAGCCTTTTTTCACTTCACTTTACAATGAAAAATACTCATTTTGAGTTCAATGTATGTATGCCACCGCTAATAAATAATCTATCATCACAGAAGGCTCAACTGCTTTGAGGTAAAGGATCAGGAAAAAATGGTGAGGAAGGATGGCCTTTTCCGACTTGAGCAAGGGACAAAATGGGAGAGTTTTGTCTCTGATTTCATGCTCAGTCTGTATTCCAGCACTGATCTATGTTTAAATCGGCCCTTGTTTTGAGGCATTTTTTTTCAACTTATATATATATAGAGCCCCCTATGGCGCAATGGGTTAAACCCTTGTGCCAACAGGATTGCTGACTGACAGGTCAGCAGTTCAAATCTGGGGGGAGCAGGTTGAGCTCCCTCTGTCAGCTCCAGCTGCCCGTGCAGGGTCATGAGAGAAGCCTCCCACAAGGATGGTAAAACATCAAACGTCCAGGCATCCTCTGGGCAATGTCCTTGCAGACGGTCAATTCTCTCACATCAGAAGCGACTTGCAGTTTTTCAAGTTGCTCCTGACACAACCCCCTCCCCTCTAAAACCCCCAACTTATATAAGTTAATGAAATGAAACAGATATTCTTCACAAGACTGTGGATATATCAAATTCACACAGCTTTGATTTGACTTTTCAAACACAGGTCCATGAATTAGCGCTACTAATGTTCTTCTGATGTTGTAAAACTAAAATACATACCACTTGATCGCAGGCCGGCCTCATCATGCGAGCAAGCACATTCAGCAAATCTTGTCTTTTGAGAAACTAAAAGACATAATTTTGAACAAAGTTTATTCCTGTTCAAGTTTTGGTATAGTCTTGTTCTTGAATGTACAAGAGCAATCCCTACCAGCAGAACTAATAAAAACCCCAAATTCCCTCAAGGAGTACCACAAAATGTCATGTGTACTGTAGAAGTGCAAGGCAACTCTACTGTAGCTCTCATGTATGCATGTTTATTTCACTACTGCATTAGGTTTACAATCTAATCGTCTCCCACCACAAAATTTAAGATGGCATCCAGTTCCTTAGTGACAGAAGCACTTTGGAGAAGTAATTTGATTTTTGCAGAAAATAGATATTTTAGTTTTCCAATTTCACTCTGAAAAATAGGTTGCCTTTTCTGTCTGGCTTAATATTTTTCATATCTAGTCCTTCAGGCCTGCTGAAGTTTCCAAAAGGAAGTAAGTGTCCCATTTCTGTATCTACTTTAAGGAAAACAGCAAACTTCACACATACACTTCTTCCTGATTCTAACCTGTCCAAAGAACCTGATAGAGAAAACAGAATACCATGATAATAGGCAGATCCAGAAGGTAGCATATAGAAGGGAAAAGGCATTAATTGTTCCTGCAGGCTTCTTTTTTATTCCTTATACTTTTTGAAAATAAAGATATATAATATAGTAAGACCCTTTCTTAACATTGCAAATCATGCAGGGCTCTACTATTAAACTGAGTGGCACCATCTGATCTTTCCTGAATTAAAGCATAGAACATTTTAAGGTGTTTCTTCCCATACCTTGAGCTGGATAAGCATGCCCTCACAGCAAACTCTTCCAGAGCACCAGAGATTATAAATATGTTCATTTTCTTGGTTCAGCTTGCCCGTACTTGTGGCTTCTTTATTGGTGCCGTCATCCCCTTGAAAGAAAGAACATGCTACTTAAAATGGACTTGTGACTGTAAGCCTAATGTACATCGCAGTTTACGCCAATGAATCTTTGAACCAAACTCAGAGGCTTTGTTTAGTGCAAAATAATGGAGACTGCTGCCCACTAATGCAGCTGCCTCCAATCCATAAGACCAATAATTCAAGATTCTAGAAAGAATTCAGAAAGATTTGAATATCTTGTGCCAGCCTACCCCCCAAAAAATAATTTCAACTACTACTTTCTATCATGACTTTTAAATTCAACTTAAGCAGTATCTTAAATTGTCTCTATACCACTTCAAGCATGCAAAGAAGCCTGAATATTTCAGTAGTTGTCTAAGATGTACAAATACTTTATGGTGGGCAACACTATAAGAAGAGAGCTGTCAAATTTCTATACATTTAGCACTTTGGAAAGGATGAACTTTGCCCAATTAAATATATTTTCAATGAATATTTATTAAATATATGAGGGTAGGTCAAAAGGTTTTGTATCCTGTGTCATAAAAACGTTATGAACATATAACAGCAGAAATATCCTCTACTCAAAACTACCTTTCAGCCTAGACACCATCAATTTGTACACATTTATGTACTTATGATTTTAAAGTTGTTTTAACGTCATTCAAGTCATTGAATCTGAAACCACATAGGTTGTCTGTTTGGACCTCTGAAAGACAACCTACGTGGTTTCAGATTCTATGACTTGAATGATGTTAAAACAGCTTTAAAATAACAAGTACATGGGGGGGGGGGGAGAAATATTGCTCTCTAACACAAACCTAACACCTCTACCTATTACAAAACTACTATTTATTTATTTATTTACTTACTTTATTTCTATACCGCTTTTCTCAGCCCTTAGGCGACTCAAAGCGGTTTACATAATACAAGTTATCACAAGACAGTATCATAGGCAAATTAAAACACACTATACATTATACATAACAATCAAAATCAATAAACAACTACACAAACTCATCCTTAACTCCCCAATACCTTTACCTGTGTGTGTGTAAACTGACTTCCCATTTGTCAGAAAATAAGTATATAATTTACATTCTTATATTAATTCTTAATCTCTACTTTTTAATTTAAACAATAAAGGAAAACTATAAACACTTCCCCTATAACCCCATCTCTTCCTTCAACATAATCAAGTCAATTAGTCTTTGAGTTATTTTAAAGGTACAGCTGCGATGTTGCCCACTTTGTCCAATTCTCTCCTCTGACTTTCCATATTCAGTGTTCATTTTACACAACTTTTTTCACTTATATTTGCATGATATAAAATGACAGCTCCATGCCAATGCTTAGCTGGCCTTCCTCCTTGGTGACTTCAACATTCATGCTGATATTTAATGCTGCAGTACTGAACCCGCAGGTAAGGAGCATGGAGGTAGAGGTCAAAACCAACTCACCAACAAGGGCAAAGTTACTTTCAAGTAATTCCCGGTGACTACTGAACCAGGCCTGAGCAAGACGGTTGTTCTTATTCTTCCCAATGATGTAGTTCATGATGTAAGCAAGCAGGCCGGTTACCATTAATATTTCCATGTAATAACTCTCCCAACTATTTTGGAGATGGGCAGGGACCTGTTAAATGCAGATTTGGTTAGATTTGTTCTATTTTGAACATTCCCTTAACACAAATTCTGCCTGACAGCTATAGTATTTTTTTTATTCAAAATTTTTATCACCTGTGATCTCACAGGTTAGCTCCTCTGAATTAATAAATAATACTTTTTCTTTTACGATGTGCATACCACTTCGTTTCTATACATAAAAATAACAATTAATTCCATATATCCATATTCCCCCTACAGAGAGTGCTGATTCTAATTTTATTTAAATTTAATTACCTCATTGTAATCAATATTTGATAAAGAGTTAATCTAACTTGGCTCCAAGTCAATTGAATTTCAGAGCCAAGAACGAATTTGGAATGTATATCAGTCTCATAACCAAATACAGGACAACACATTGCATTGCAATGTCCCAAAGAACTACAGACCTAATTAAGTTGCAGAAACATTAAGAGAAGCATTTTCAAATTATAGCATACACTTGCAGAAGCAGAAAGGCTACTAACACTCTCAAAAGTGTATTAGAAGAAACAGAAGTGAAAAAGAAAAGAAAATTGCAGCTTGACAGGAAAAAAGAAAACAATCTCAACTTTTAAATGGATCAAATTTTTACAATGTGGTTTGATACTCTTTTGGATTGTGTGGATTTGATTTTAAGATTGCCTGGTCAAAAATTGAATAAATATTGTCTTCTTCCAGCCCTACAACTTTATGAAATTATTTATTTTAAGCACAACTTAAATCCTTTATGTTACCCGTTAAATGCTTCAGTACTACATGATGCTTAGTGACATTCTGAGTACACAAGGAGAATGAAAGAAAGCTGTCAAATAGGAAGGATACTTGGAATGAATAAAATATTACTTTGGATGACACCAACTTCACATAAGATCTAATCTCAAAAAGCTATATGCTTTTTCTGCAAAGGGGAGGGCAGTGAGGATATGTATTTATTTATTTTATTTATTTACTGTATTTATATCTCACCTTTCTCACCCTGAAGGTGACTCAGAGCGGCCTTACAATAGGTAATAAATTAAGGCCACATAAGACTGAAAAAAATAATGTTTTCTTCCTGTGAATAAACATACACATTAAAAACATAAATATAAACATAAACATTAAAACTAACTACTCAAAACCACACAATTTGAAATAATAGTCCAGAAGCTGTTCCAGTTGCGATTGCGCATATTCCATCTTCATTTATTCAGTTAGGGCAGGAACAAGCTTTTGTAATTAAGATCGAGATGTAAAAGTTTCACAACAGGCACTTACATCCACAATGGTTATGGGATCTTTACTTTTGCCAGGAGTTGCATCAGGTTTCTCTTCATAGCCTTCAAATTCTTCATCATCATATGGTTCACTTTCTGCATCACCTTCCTGAAACAAGAATACACAAAGTCCAGCAAAACCAGTTGTTTCAATAAAAGATGTTTCTCTGCTGAATGCTACAGAACTACTACTGAACTCTCCTTAAATCACAGGGTTCACTTTGGATTAAGTGGGCTTGAGACAGAAGTTGGCCAAAGGTGATCACTGATGTTCTGCCCATCCGAAGTCTGATATGTCTGCATGGGATTTCGGGAGGGCAGTTCAACAAAAAGCAAATTCTACTGTGGTCTCAATGATGTCGCAATCCCATCTACCCAGAAGTCAGAAAAATCCCTTCTCTGCTGCTTTTTTGTAGAGAGATTTCATTTCACAAGAAGACTTTGACTCTACTGACCCAGTCTTCCTCTTCTTCTCAGTCTCTATATCTGATACATCAGGCAGTCCCCAAGTTACGAACAAGATAGGTTCCGTAGGTTTGTTCTTAAGCTGAATTTATATGTAAGTTAGAACAAGTACATTTTTAAAGTGTAACTCCAGCCAAAATAGATATCTTTTAGCTTTGAATAGCACAGTGAAGGGTTAACAGCCTTGTGTTTATCTGTCTGTGTCCCTGTTCAGAATATTTCGCCTCACTTTCTGTTCCTGTGATTATTGGATTTTTAAAAAATTAGCTTGTTGTGGAAACAAGGATTCACTATAAAGCTTCAGTTGAGACATCTTTTCCCCATAATAACTCTTTCAGGAGTGAATTTCCCTTCCTAGGGGTAGATTTCTTTCACTTCCTGTTGCCTCACTCCCATTTGTAAGTATGGGTCATTTGTAAGTTGGATGTTTGTAACTCGGAGACTGCCTGTATATTCTGCTTTTCTTCCAGTTTGGGGTTCAGTGGAGCTATAATGTTTTCTTCCTGTGAATATTTTAATTTGCCTGTTTTGGTCCTATGCATTTTAAATGTCAGATCTTAATAACAAGCACATTGTAAAGTCTATTTTCACCAGCAAGATGATCTGGACCACTCCAATCCTCTAGTATGCAACAAAAAAAACCCAAGTCTGACCAGGTCCCTTCATATGGTATCACCTGGGCATCAGCATCCTCAAAGTCAAGTCCTTCATCTTGTCCTTCGAGTTCAACCGTGGCCTCTTCCTCGTCATCCTCTGTTGTCACAATTCGCTGGGGAGATTCAGTTGCAGGATCTTCAATCACATCTTCGAATTCAGCAAAGTCATTATCATCATATTCCACAATGTCATCTCCATCATCAAACTCATCAAATTTTGCCAGAGATATACCCCATGGGACAAAGAGAGCAGCCACGAAAAAATACACTGTTCTCATGATTGCTGCAATAGGAGAGATATAATAAAAATATCAACATCTTTCCACTTTAAATACTGTACCTATAACAATGCAACAAAGGGAATTTACCACCAGCTGTATAGACATATGAGGAAAAAATACTTTTATTGCAAGTTTTAGTTTCATTTCACTTTGTATATCATTTGAATACTTAAGAACTGGTGCTTCTCTTACAATACATTATGTCTCTTTAAGAACACTCATGAACAAGGCACAGTTGTGAGATAACTGACCCACTTAAAAACATTCATGTAGGCAACATAGGAGTCATGTTGCATCATTGTTCTAGAATTGGAAGAGAGTTGGAAGAGACTACAAGGCCATCCAGTCCAACCCCATGCCATGCAGGAAAAGCACAACCCAAAGCACCCCCAACAGATGGCCATCCAGCTTCTGCTTAATAACTTCCAAAGGTGGAGCCTCCATCACACTCTGAGACAGAGAGTTCCACTGCTGAACAGCTCTTATGGTCAGAAAATTCTTCCTAATGTTCAGATGGAATCCCCTTTTCCATAATTTGAACCCATGGCTCTAAGTCCTATTCTCCAAGGCAACCTGCTCCCTCTTCCTTATGACATCCTTTCACATATTTAAACATTGTTATCATGTCTCTTTTCAGCGTTCTCTTCTGCAGACTAAACATAAATTACTTAAATGTACAAAGTAAAGCAGCCATTGATTTATTCTTGTTTCTAACTAAAAAGTAGCTCTAAAATGAACCCAGCACAGGGTTTTCTTGGCAAGATTTTTTCAGAGTGGGTTTGCTTTTGCCTTCCTTCGAGACAGGGTGACGTGTCTAAGATCACCATAGTGTGTTTCTATAGTTGACTGTGAATATGAACCTTATTCTCCAGAGTCCTAATCTCAACCCACTGTGCCACTCTGGTGAGTAAACGCTGACTCAAGAGGACTAGTTCTTTTTCCTCCTGATTCCTCTGTTCCACCACAAAAGTGTCAGTCAGCCAGTAACATAAGCTATTTACCCATTTGTTTGCATGGGTTATTTGTCCTATGCAATCAGAATGAGAATTCAAACAACCGAGTAACCATTTTTCAATGGGATCAGCTGTCAACTCTGAGTGTGACATTTGTCTAGAATATTTAGGATACGGACATGTACTGCCTGGAAGATTGATACAATGATGATATACTTTCAATTATTTTTAACATCTGTATTTTACCTTGGCTCCCTGAGAAAGTGCATCTACATGTCAATGGACACTCAGAAAGAATTCTAAAAGGATGAAAAGCTCAGACTGCTACTTGAAAAAGCCATGCTTATCATCCCACAATTAATTTACAAGTGATAAACAAACAATGTATCACTTGTAAAACACTTTCACTCCCAGGCCCCTTCTACACTGCCATATAATCCAAATTATCAAAGCATATAATCCACAATATCTACTTTGAACTGGATTATATGAGTTTACCTTGTCATATAATCCAGTTCAAAGCAGACAGTCTGGATTTTATATGGCAATGTAGAAGGGGCCTTAGTAGGACTGTAATATCCTTTCCATTTGCTGCAGCAGAACTACTGTCCCAAGCAGTAATCAATAAAAAGATGTTTATCTGCAATTCCTAGTATCACTGCATTCCCAAAGTTTTAGCATCCTTTTAAGGGTTATATTATGGGTTGACAATGCCATTATTAGCCTCTTGCTACATTAATATTTTCCTATTCCACAGTTCCAAGAACTAGCTCTTTAAAAAGCACACAATCTAGATTACTAATCTAAAATTAGCAGTAGCAACTAGAGCACCTCTCTCCATCCCACCATCAGCTACATTTTTAGAAACTGCCAGGCTTAGGGAAAAGATGCCTGAAGAACAATATTACAACTTTATTTCTTTGCTACATGTACCATCTTTGAATATTAAACTAACTTGAAAGTGCAGAAATGCATCTGTTTTAAAATTAAAAATAAGAACAAATGTTCCTGACAAGATTTGTTCAGAGAGGGGTCTGCCTTTGGCTTCTTCTGAGGCTGAATGTGGCTAACCCAAGGTCAGTGGGTTTCCACAGCTGAGAGGGAATTTGAAATCTGGTCTCCAGAATTATGGTCTAACACTAAAACCATGCTGACTGTGGTAAAAAGGTTTTAGGAACTGTGAGATGCAAGTCCCGGGTGACTGTCCCCCTCCCAACCCATTATATACATTAATAGGATGAAGCCTGTTCTCTTGAGTAGTAAACTAGCTATTTTGAGCCATCCAATTATTCACTGGTTAATTAACATTAACATTGCTGTGCAATATGTAGTGGCATCGAATTGCTGCCAAATGTAAGCTGTCCTGGGTCCCCCTTTGGAGGTTAAGAAGGAACGGGAAAGAAATACCGGAAATAAATAAATAAATAAATAGCAAAGCTATAAAGCAAATATGATTGCTTGAGGTCTTACCAAGCATGATTACAAAATATGCACAGAATCATACTGATGAGAATTGACCAGAACATAATATGGTAGGGCCCTTACTTCCCTTGCTTTGGAAACCATGCTTCTATTAATACAGGAAAAGATGGTATTTGCTTTCTTTGTTGCAAGATTACAATGCTGGCTCATGTTTGGTTCATGATCAATAATCCCATGGACCTTTTCACGTGTAATACTGCTGAGATAAATATTCCCCACTTGTGTAGTCTTTCTGTGTGTGAACATGCGGTCTAAATGTACATTTTTGCATTTGTCTCTTTAATTTAGTTTCATTAATTCACAGTTCAGATTCCTAAAAATGAATTAGGAAACACTTTTATCAGTCTTAATTCTACATTTAAATATGACAGTAATTAATTAACTTTAGCAAGCAACTAATCTGTATTAAGTCATTTTGGACAGGCACTGTTGGTTGAAAAATAAACCAGCCTATCCTGAGTTTGGAAAGGAACACCCAAGTCAAATTCCAAGGAGCTAGTATTGAATTTCTAAGTACAAAAGAGATTTGGCACTTTGAATCTGAGGTCTATCATAAGGGAAGGCTTTAAAAGCAAAGTTTCTGGTTGCTGGATATTTTGGCTTTTACAATATAGGAGACAGTAAAGTAATTCTGCAGTATAGGAGACAGGAATGTAATACCAATACCCAACAATATTGGTATTTATTTATTTATTTATTTATTTACAGTTCTTATATTCCGCCCTTCTCACCCCGCAGGGGACTCAGGGCGGATTACAGTCAACACATATATGGCAAACATTCAATGCCAGTTTGACAAACAGCATTTAACAGACAAAGGCTATTTAACTTTTTTCTGGCCACCAGGGGAGCTGCTGCTTTTCATCGTCCATCAACGACACCGATGAAGTTCTTCCGCATTCCACATTCCCCGGAGTCTTCTTTTTTTATGGCCTCATAAATTAGTTAAATTTAGCCTCCCACACAAGGTGGTCCCTTATTGTCCTACTTGACAGATGCAACTGTCTTTCGGGTTGCAAAGGTCGACAACGGGCTACACAATGGCTGGACACCCACTCCAGCCCGGGCTGGCTTCGAACTCATGATCTTTTGGTCAAAGTGATCTTAATGCAGCTGACACTCAGCCAGCTGCGCCACAATCCCGGTGCATTCCTCTTTATAATGAACACATTTTCTCCCTATTCTACATAATTACCATACACGTACTGTTGGTTTTGTGCCTTCAGGTCACACAATGTTAAGGTTGTCTTACCATTCTTTTGATCAGAGGGGATTTGCCTTTTCCTTCCTTTGAAGTTGAGAGTATAATCTGTCTAAGCCAACCCAACAGATTTCCATGGTCAGGCTGAGATTCAAATTCTGGTTTGCATATTCGCAGTCCAACACTGAAAATACTACACCATGCTGGTTCTCTACATATACAGTTTTTACACCAAAAACCCTGGAAACTTGCCTCCCATCTTTGTTTTCAAATATTTTCTCCTTTAGCTATTTTAGGATTGTGTAGACCACACAAATATGGCTGGAGGGGCATGGAAAAGGAATAAGGAAGAGAAAGGAGATAGATAATCAGAGTTCATGAAGACTGAAAAGTGTATTTTTAAAAAAGGTCAGAACCTATTTTCTGCATCAATTTGTCCTCAGGTGGCCCAACTCTCATAGTCCATTAATATAACCCTAGCATTCATGAAGTGAAGTTTCAATTTGTTTTTATTGGCTTAAGACATTAAATCAAAACTAGTTAAATGCTTGGAACATAAGCAGGCAAATGGCAGACCCACAGATGTTATTAGTCATAATAACTTCCAATAATGGTGAGGAATACTAGAAGGTTCTGGTGCATAGCTACATTTGGAGAGCTACACTTTGCCCATTCCTATCTTTTGAAGATGACAGAGTAAGACAATGTTGACAGTTTAAGCCCCTGCCAAAAGCGACTGGACTGCAACTCCCATGATCCCTACAAGCAACACAGTGAATGGCTGAAGAGCTGGAAGCAACAATATCTGAAGGGTCATGGTTGAGTTACAACTGCCTTAAGAAGTAAGCTTGCATAGATTTTTATGTCCAACTTTGGTGCATTTACACTGTGGAATAAATGCAGTTTGACCCCACTTTAACTGCCACGTCTCTAGACTATAGAACAATGGTCCTCAAACTTTTTAAACAGAGAACCAGGTCACAATCTCTCAAACTGTTGGAGGGCCGGATTATAATTTGAAAAAAAAGAATGAATTCCTATGCACACTGCACATATCTTATTTGTAGTGCAAAAACACTTAAAAACAATACAATAATTAAAATGAAGAACAATTTCAACAAATATAAAATTATTAATATTGGGAAGTGTGGGCCTGCTTTTGGCTGATGAGATAGGATTGTCGTTACTTTCAAGTCATTTCAGACTTAGGTTGACCCTGAGCGAGGTCCGAGTAAATGACCTTAGAGGGCCGCATCCGCCCCCCGGGCCTTAGTTTGAGGACCCCTGCTATAGAATCACAGGACTGCAGTTTGGTGAGACACCAATGCTATTTGGAAAAGACCTAGTAAAACTGAAGCTCTCAAGATTCCACAGCACTGAGCCATGCAGCTAAAATGGGGTCTAACTGCATTAATTCAACAGTTAAGATCATGCATTCTCAAACCAGGGCCCTCCAGCTGTTTGGGCCTCCAACTTCCAGAATTCCCGACCACTGAACAAGCCACAGGGAGTTGGAGGATGCTGGTGTATACTGATCCCCATTAACATTATTTTTTGCAAAACATTGTGAATTGCTTTGAGTTTCAAACAGGGTAAAAAGGACAGGATAGAAATTGAAATCCTCATCACCTTCATCCGCCCTTCCTTTCAAAAGTAGTAAAGAGCTTAGTAACATTGTGGAAACCTACTGGGTTTCATCAAAAGGCTACATAAAAAGGAGAATAATAATAATAATAATAATAATAATAATAATAATATTTCTTACCCGCCTCTCCTTATGGCTCGAGGTGGGTTACAAAATAATAAAAAATACATAAGCACAGCAAAAACACTACAAATACATACACTAAAACATACCTCCATAAAAGTTACAAACCAAAATGTATCTCTACAAAATACATACTAAAACACACAAAACAGAGATCAAACGAAGGACACTTAAAATCCATGCTTAAAGACTATCTGGGTAGGCAGTCTTTACGTGGTTTTAAAATTCTGACAGCTTATTTAGCTGTTGGAGTTCTTCTGGCAGGTCGTTCCAGTCGTGGGGCAGCCAATGAAAAGGTCCTCTGGGTGGTAGTTGCCAGCTCGGTTCCAGCTTATAGGAGCAAATGCCCCCCAGAAGACCAAAATGTGTGGGGTGCATTGTATAGGAGAAGGTGAACATTTAGGTAACCTGGACCCAAACAATTAGGAATTTCAAGGTCAAAGCCAACACCTTGTACTTTGCCCGGGAACTATTTGGCAGCCGGTGGAGTGACTTTAGGATAGGTGTGGTATGTTCACTCCTAGATGTTCCTGTAACCAATCTCTCTGCTGTATTTTGAACCAGCTGGAGTTTCCAAACTTGAAACAAGGGTAGCCCAATGTAAAGCACAATGCAGAAATCCAACCTCAAGGTTACCAGTGCATGAACTGCTATCTTCAGTCCTCTAAATCTAGGAAGGGGTGCACTGGTGGATCACCGAAGCTGATAATAAGCATCTACCTGGGCTGACATTTGGAGAGCCAGAGTCAGGAGCATTTCCAAGCTGCAAACACAGTCTTTTAGGGAGTGTATAAACCCATCCAGAACTGGTTGACATACCTCCATCCCCAGATGAGGGCCCTTGATGGCAAGCACCTCTGTTTTGTCTGGATTCAGTTTCAATCTGTTTTTCCTCATCTAGCCTATTACCTGCTCCAGACATCCATTCAGAAGAGACACGCTATCCTTAGCTGGAGCTTGTTTTGAAGGCATGGAGAATTATATTTAGATCGAAGGAAGTCATGGTTTTCCTCTATTCAGCTTTGGATAGATCTCACCTGAAATACTGTGTCCAATTCTGGGCACCACAGTTCAAAAGAGATATTGACAACCTGGAAGGTGTCCAGAGTGGGACGACTAAGGGCCCTTTTACACAGTCATAACCCAGAATATCAAGGCAGAAAATCCGACAATATCTGCTTTGAACTGGGTTATCTGAGTTCACACTGCCATATATTTCAGTTCAAACCAGAAAATGTGGAATTTTATTCAGCTGTGTGGAAGGGACCTAAGATGGTTGCTGTAAGTTTTTTTGGGCTATATGGCCATGTTCTAGAGGCATTCTCTCCTGACGTTTTGCCTGCATCTATGGCAAGCATCCACAGAGGTAGTGAGGTCTGTTGGAACTAGGAAAATGGGTTTATATATCTGTGGAATGACAGGGTGGGACAAAGAACTCTTGTATGTTGGAGCTAGGTGTGAATGTTTCAACTGACCACCTTGATGAGCATTTGATGGCCTGGCAGGAGTCCTTTGTTCCAACTTGATCGTTCCACAGATATATAAACCCATTTCCCTAGTTCCAACAGACCTCACTACCTCTGAAGATGCTTGCCATAGATGCAGGCGAAATGTCAGGAGAGAACGCCTCTAGAACATGGCCATATAGCTCGAAAAAACTTACAGCAACCTAGTGGTTCCGGCCATGTAAGCCTTCGACAATACATTGGGCCTAAGATGATTTCCACATATAACCATGAATTCCTATAAGAAGTATCTTAAAGAACAGGATCTGTTTTTAGCCTGAAGAAGAGAAGGTTGAGAGGAGACATGATAGCCATGTATAAATATGTGAAAGGGTGTCATAAGGAAGAGGGAACAGGCTTGTTTTCTGCTACCCTGGAGATTAGGATTCAGAACAATGGGTTTAAATTACAGGAAAAGAGATTCCACCTGAACATTAGGAAGAATGTATTGTCGAAAACTTTCATGGCTGGAATTACTGGGTTATTGTAGGATTTTTTGGGCTATATGGCCATGTTTTAGAGGCATTCTCTCCTGACGTTTCACCTGCATCTATGGCAAGCATCCTCGGGTTTAAGGAATAGCACTGTGGTCCTCACAACCACTGAGGATGCTTGTCATAGATGCAGGCGAAATGTCAAGAGAGAATGCCTCTAGAACAGGGGTCCTCAAACTAAGGCCCAGGCGCCGGATATGGCCCTCCAAGGTTATTTACCCGGCCCTCGCTCAGAGTCAACCTAAGTCTGAAACGACTTGAAATCACACAACAACAACAATGCTATCTCATCAGCCAAAAGCAGGTCCACACTTCCCACACGCTAAGTTTATATTTGTTAAAATTGTTCTCCATTTTAATAATTGTATTGTTTTTAAGTGTTTTTGCACTATAAATAATTGCAGTGTGCATAGGAATTAATTCATTTTGTTTTTCAAATTATAATCCGGCCCTCCAACAGTTTGAGGGACTGTGACCTGGCCCTCTGTTTAAAAGTTTTGAGGACCCCTGCTCTAGAACATGGCCATATAGCTTGAAAAATCCTACAAGAACCCATTAGGAAGAACTTCCTGACTGTAAGAGCTGTTCAGCAGAGGAACTCTCTCCTTCAGAGAGTGTGGTGGAAGCTCCTTCCTTGGAAGCTTTTAAACAGAGGCTGGATGGCCATCTGTCAGGAGTGCTTTGATTGTGCTTTTCCTGCATGGCAGGAGGTAGGACTGCCATGGGATCCCTTCCAACTCTATTATTCTATGTGTGACCTTGAACAAGCCACACTCTCTCGGCCTCAGAGGAAGGCAAAGGCAAACCCTGGATGAACAAATCCTACACAGGAAAACCTCGTGAAAGCTTCACCTCTGAGTCACCCTAAATCTGAAATGACTTACAGCAACGAACAACTCCCAACTTTCCTTCACACTGAGTACAGATTTGGGATTGCAGGAGTGAAAGAGGCCTACACGCTAGAAGGAGAGCCTTCCATGGGCATGAAACTGCCCACTTCGGTCCTGGAGGGGAATAATGACTTACTGTTTCCGAAGAGAAGCCCCACAGGCGGCAAACACCGAGCACTTTGGCCTTCCCCCTTCCCTCCAAGCCCCTCCGACCCCTCTCTGACTGTCCGCCTCCCTTCTCACCTCGGACCGGCGCTGCGACTACGGCGCTCCGAGGCCCACTTCACACTTCCCTGCCGAAGTTAACGCTGGAGGAGGATCCTTCCTCTTTTCCTCCGCCGTAAAGTGCGCAAATGGCGTAATCTCGCGCAGGCGCACTGGCAGCTACAGGCTTTCGGAAAGGAAGAGGCGGAACGAGAAAAAGGGAAGGCGTTTTCCGGAACGCCTCTCCCTCCTTCCCCTCCTACTCTTCCTTTCCTTTCTTTCCTTCCTTCCTTCCCTTTCTTTCTTTTCTCCTCTTTCCTTCCTTCCTTCTTTTTCTATCCTTCCTTCCCCTTCCTTGTCTCCTTCCTTCCTCTTCTTTGCTATCTTCCTTCCTTCCTTCTTTTTCTTTCTTCTCCTTTCTACCTTCTCTCTTTCCTTCCTTCCTTTTCTTTCTTTCGCTCTGGAAGCCAGGGTTTGAATCCCTGCTTTGGCATTGAAACCCACTGGCTGACAAGTCATGCTCTCTCAACCTCAGAGGAAGGCAAAGTGAAATCTCATTTGGACAAAACTTCCAAGCAAACTTTGTACTATGACCTCTTCCACTCAGCCATATAACCCAGGCAATCCACGATATCTGCTTTGAACTGGAGCTCTTTCCACACAGCTGTATAAAATCCACATTGAATTGGATAACATGGCAGTGTGGATTCTGATAACCCAGTTCAAAGCAGATATTGTGGATTATCTGCCTTGATATTCTGGGTTATATGGCTGGATGGAAGGACCCTAGATTAGGACTTTAGGATTGCTACAATTAGGGAATAATTTGGGGCCCTTCCACACAGCCATATAATCCAGAATATCAATTCAAATAATTGACAATATCTGTTTTGACCTGGATCATCAGTTAAATAAAATTCCATATTATCTGCTTTGAACTGGAAGATATGGCAGTGTGGACTCGGGGCCTGTCCATACAGCCCAATATTCCAGAATATCAAGGCAGAAAATCCCACAATATCTGCTTTGAACTGGGTTATCTGAATCCATATTGCCATATATGGCCAGGGTGGTCCATGCCTTAGTCACCTCTAGACTGGATTACTGTAATGCACTCCACGTGGGGCTGCCCTTGAAAACGGCTCGGAAATTCCAGATGGTCCAACGGGCGGCAGCCAGGTTGTTAACCGGGGCTCCTTACAGGAAGTGGTCAACCCTCCTGTATAAGGAGCTAAACTGGCTGCCATTCATTTTCTGGACCCAATTCAAGGCGCAGGTTCTCACCTACAAAGCCCTGAACGGTTTGGGACCCGCCTACCTGCGTGACCGCATTTCTGTATACAAACCCACACGATCTCTTCGATCATCTGGAGAGGCTCTGCTCACGCTCCCACCTGCATCGCAAGTGTGAGAGAGAGGGCCTTTTCGGTGGTGGCCCCTCGACCCTGGAACTCACTTCCTAAGGACATCAGGCATGCCCCAACTCTGGCAGTCTTTAGGAGGCGCTTGAAGACGTGGTTGTTCCAGTGTGCCTTCCCAGAATAATGATCCCATAGCACTTTGTCCTCCAAAGCACTTTATATTGTTTTAGGTCTGCTTGTATGTTTCCACAAACGCCCCATCACTTTTTCGCCCATGTCCAGCATTATTTTTAAATTTTAATTACATTTGGCCTACCCATAGATTTTAAAGTGTGTGGGCCTATTGTTAATGCTTATGTTATTGTTTTATTGTCTTGTTTGATTTTAATTGCTTCTATTGTTGTTGTTATTGCTTGTATTGTTGTATTCTGGGCTCGGCCTCATGTAAGCCGCACCGAGTCCCCTGGGGAGATGGTAAGGTAAAGGTAGCCCCCTGACATTAAGTCCAGTCATGTCTGACTCTCCATTTCTAAGCCGAAGAGCCAGTGTTGTCGTAGACACCTCCAAGTTCATGTGGCTGGCATGACTGCATGGAGCGCCGTTACCTTGCATGTTTTCGAACTGCTAGGTTGGCAGAAGCTAGGGCTGACAGCGGAAGCTCACGCCGCTCCCCGGAATTGAACCTGCGACCTTTCGATCAACAAGCTCAGCAGCTCAGTGCTTTAACCCACTGCCCCACCGGGGGCCCCAATAGCGAGATGGTAGCGGGATATAAATAAAAGTTTATTATTATTATTATTATTATTATTATATATTCCATTTCAAAGCAGATGTGGGATTTTATTTAACTGTGTGGAAGGGGGTCAGATAACCCAGTTCAAAGCATATATTGTGGGATTTTCTGCCTTGATATTCTGAGATGTAGGGCTGTGTGTAATGGCCCTCAATCCACATTGCCATTTATTTATTTACTTTACTTGTATACCGCAGTTTCTCAGCCCAACAGGCGACTCAACGCGGTTTACAACAAGGATAAAAATCAATCAACGATATACAATTTAAAACCATAAGAGCATAGTATACAATATTGACACAACAATAAACAAACACAATACATCTTATAACTAGAGTCGTGATCCAATTCGTCGTCCAAATTTCCATTCCTGTAATCATCACATTCATTGCACTGTTTATCTGAATGCCTGTTCAAACATCCAAGTTTTTAATCTTCTTCGGAACACCATTAGTGAGGGAGCTGATCTAACCTCCATAGGGAGGGTGTTCCACAGCCGAGGGGCCACCACAGAAAAGGCCTTGTCTCTCGTCAGCGCCAGCCGCACCTGTGAAGCAGGCGGGATAGAGAGCAGGGCCTCCCCAGAAGATCTTAGGGTCCTGGCGGGCTGATAGGCAGAGATACGTTCGGATAGGTAACTTGGGCCAGAACCGTTTAGGGCTTTATAGGCCAGCGCCAGCACTTTGAATTGAGCCCGGTAGCAAATCGGCAGCCAGTGGAGCTGGTGCAGCAGAGGAGTTGTATGCTCCCTGCGCTCTGCTCCTGTTAGTATCATGGCTGCCGAGCGTTGGACTAGTTGGAGCTTCCGAGCCGTCTTCAAAGGCAACCCCACGTATATAATCCAGTTCAATGTGGATTTTTTAGAGCTGTGTGGAAGAGGCTTTGAAGGAACAAAATAATAAAATGAAATACGGAAAGCCCCAATTAACCAGAGCTCTACACAAGCCTCCTCCTGCTTAAAAGAGCCCATGAGGAAATAAAGGCATGTGTGTCTCTTTTTTCTGACTCTACGGTGCTGCGCCTACTTATAACGTAAGCAGCCGCCACTGTCGATGGCGTCACCACGGAGGAGGACCGCGCGAGCGAGCCGTTGCGCGGTGACGTCATCGCGTCACGGTCGCCAACGTCGCGCCCCGTTTCTTCCCTCGTAGTAAAAGAGTGGAGTTCTGAGGGACGGCGGGAGCAAGGGCGGAAAAAGGAAGTGTCACACAAGGTGGTGGGTAAGCGGCGGGGAAATAAACAGCGGGGGAAAGGAAGTAAAGGCGCAGGAAGCGCTGCCAGGCCTTGTGGGGTCGCTGGGGAAGAAGGAAGGGGAAGGGGGCGGGGCCGCGGCCTAGCGGAGCCACAGAAGCCTTTGGAGCTGATCCCGTTCTGTTTGTCTCCCCTCCGCCAGGCGACCTGGTCTCTCGCCTCCAGAGGAATCCGCCGGACTCTTGCCAAAGGTGACCAAGTAGGCGTGAAGCTTGAGCAGGTATTGACACTGAGGCGACGGGGTAAACTAAAGTGTCTTCCTCCAGAGGTCCTGATCCAAGCGGCCTCAGGGTGCATCTCCATGACAGAATTAATGCATTCAGTTCTTGTGGGTTTTTTTCGGGCTATATGGCCATGGTTCTAGAGGCATTCTCTCCTGACGTTTCGCCTGCATCTATGGCAAGCATCCTCAGAGGTAGTGAGGTCTGCTAGAACTAGGAAAAGGGGTTTATATATCTGTGGAATGACCAGGGTGGGACAAAGGACTCTTGTCTGCTGGGGCTAGGTGTGAATGTTTCAACTGACCACCTTGATTAGCATACAATGGGCTGACTGTGCCTGGAGCAAACTAGTTCCAGTAGACCTCACTACCTCTGAGGATGCTTGCCATAGATGCAGGCGAAACGTCAGGAGAAATGCCTCTAGAACATGGCCATATAGCCCGAAAAAACCCACAAGAACTGAGTGATTCCAGCCATGAAAGCCTTCGACAATACATAGAATTAATGCAGTTTGACATGACTTGAAACTGCTATTGGAACTGTACGCTTTGTAAGCCTTCGCTGTCTAAGAATGCGGTTGTCTCACCAAATCACAACTCCCAGGATCCTCAAGCATTGTGCACTGGCAGTTATGGTGATGTGAAACTGCATTAATTATATAGCGTAAATCTGGCAAACCCCCCCCCCCCCCCCCGGGTGTTTTGGACTTCAAATCCCACAATTCCTAACAACCTATAGCTGTTAGGAAGTGTGGGGGTTAAAGTCCAAAACACAAGGAGGGACCAAATTTGTCCATGCCTGGTGTAGATGCACCCTCAGACTTACCTTCATTTATGACTGCTCACCCTACACTTTTAGTATTTTGTCTGGGTTTTTTTGCTTTGTTCTGTTAGAAATGTAATATAATCAACTGGTTGCACTGACACTATAAATAAATAAATAAATAAATAACCCTACACAGAAAAGTGACTGTTATTCCAGTTTCATAGGTCATTGGGTAAATGAGAGAGAAAAGTATGCCTTTAATCATTTAGAATAGTGTTTCTCAATTTATTTATTTATTTCGAGCGCTTATATCCCACCCTTCTCAATCCCCTAGGGGGGACTCAGGGCGGCTTACAAAAGGCACAATTCGATGCCTAACAGTTCACAAAATAAAATATAACAACAACTATAACTAGTTAAAACAACCCAATTAATACAATAGCAGCAGTAAAATCATCTTGTGGTCAATGTTCGCCAATTCATAAATCCATAGTCCATCCAGCATTATCCTTTCCTACTCTGGTTGTCATTGTCCTTTATCCATCTGCCAGCTTACCCAAAGGCCTGGTCCCATATCCAGGTTTTTAACTTCCTTCTGAAAGAGAGGAAAGAGAGGAGCGATGCTGATGACCTAATTTCCCCGGGGAGTGAATTCCACAGGCGAGGGGCCACCACCGAGAAGGCCCTGTCCCTCGTCCCCACCAGCCTCTCAAACTCAGCTCCTCCAAATATTTTGGACTTCAGCTCCCGCAATTCCTAACAGCTGAACCCGGCCCTCCCGACAATGAGCCATCCAGCCATAGATGTAGATAGATATATATGATTCACACACACACACAGATATAGTATCATAGATTTGGAAGGGACCCCTAAAAAACGACATGTTCCATGTTGCGTGTTCCAGAGTGGGCAAACAGACAATCTCCACATCAACACTGACAAAGAAACAGCAAGAAATACTGTTTACCCATGAACACAAAGTCATTACATAGATTAGAAACCAACACTTTCTCATTACTTTATTTTCCAGATCACCAGAATGGGCCACAACAATGCGTGGCAGGGGACGGCTAGTAAATAATACACAAGGGATTTCTGAGAGATGAAGTCCAAAATACCTGGAGAAGCAGGGTTTGAGAACCCTTATTTAGGCCCCTTCCACATAGCTTTATAAAATCCACATTGAACTGGATTATATGGTAGTGTTCAAAGCAGATATTGTGGATTATCTGCCTTGATATTCTAGGTTATATGTCTGTGTGGAAGGGCACTTAGGAGACCTTGGCCCTTTCCACACAGCTGAATAAAGTCACACATCTGCTTTGAACAGGAATATATTGAACTGGGATTTTCTGCCTTGATATTCTGGGTTATATGGCTGTGTGGAAGGGCCCCTTATGGGACAGACTTGTGCATAGATTTGGCCCTCCATATCCACATATTCTGTATCCATGGGTTCAGTTATTCACATCTTTCAAATAATCTCCCTCCTAAAAACATTTTAAAAAGCAAACCTTTATATTTTCATTTTTATGTAAGGGACACTATTTTATTATGCCATTGTATTTAAAGGGACTTGAACACCCACAGGTTTTGGTGCTGACAAGGGAAAGATCCTGGAACCAAATCCCAATGAATACTAAGAGCCTACTACATTTACTGTGGAGAAAGCTTGTTAGAGTCTATAGTATTCACTTCTAAGCAAATAGGCAATTTATATTAATTTCTAAGTAAATAGGCAAGTTGTAGTATTATTGCTATGATTGTCATAATTTATTTAGGTACTGTTCCATTATCCAGGTGGAGGCAAATGGGAGGCGCTAAACAGAGAAGAATAGTCCATTTTACCTGGGGGGAGGTTGAAGGAGTTAAACCATTTCCTCCTGATTTCCTGTTATTCCCCCCACCCATGTCTCCGTTGTCTAAACAACCATCCTTAATGATATGGGGAGGGGGAGAGGGAATAACCAGCAAAAAAGAGGGGAATGGTTTTCCTCCTTCAACTCCTCCCCTTCTTAAAATAGACTATCCTTCTCTGTCTAGGTCCCCTTTTGGAGTCTGCCCAGATAATGGAAAAGTACCTTCCTTTATGTAGCACTATCACTGTTCATGGTGCTTTAGAAGTAAAAGAATGACAAAACATTTCCCCACACTCAGTTTATAATCAAAGTGATACTTAACACAAAAGAAAAAAGGATAGCAATGTGGGAAGGGATTAAGGCCAGCAAATACTACCTTTTCTCTCCCTTCAAGGGCATGATAGTTGTAATTTGTTGTGATGCCTCTGATTGACATCTCTCAGATAAAAAAACAATGTTTTTCTTTGTGATGTTGTTTTGTTTCCTAATCTAATCACATTGGTTACATTTATTAAATGCTCAAGTATAGGACTGGAAGGCAAATATACAAGAATCCCCATTGGTTTCTCACACTTATACGGTAGGCCCCAAGGAAGTATCTATCCAATGAAATTTTCATGGAAGACCCCATGGAAATTTCATACGTTGCCAACAGTGTTATTGTAATGATGAAGAGTGGTTTCAAGATGTTTTAATATTAGCACAAAATGGTACAGATTTTTCACATTTACAACCATGTTTCATAACAGATCTCTGGGGAATAGGCAGACTACAAATCTAACACAAACAATTTGTTGTTTTTATTACTACTAATAAAAATAATAAAATAATAAAACTTTATTTGTATCCCAACCCATCTCCCCGAAGGGCAGCTCACAAAAGCACTCAAGGTGCCACACATAAAAATAAAATTGCATAGCACAAACAATACATAAATTAACTGAATACAAACAATGGACAGACTAAGTTTTGAAGGCAAATACAAACCTTGCTGAAATCAGTAAATTTTAATGGCTTGATAAGTCAGTATACATGTAGTATCTACAAAATTAAATGTTATATGCTGTTGTCATCTGTTTGCTGTGATAGTGGGAGAAAGCCAGTTCAGAAGAGCCTGTGAAGGTATTAGGTTCAAAGTCCTGTCTTCCCCCACAACTGCAGAAATTAAAAAATGAAAATGAAAAATATCAGTTAAATGGAAAAACCCCCCAAAGCTCAAGACCAGGAAGAATTGGGAGGCAGTGGCTCTTCTACCAAAGTCACTTCTCTCTTGCCAGTAGGATAGTTTGGTTTTCAATGCGTAAGGGTTTTATCCTCTTTTGTTGGGAAGTTTTATTGAATCGACAGTTGGGAGAAAGTGGGCTGGATATTAAGACCTGAATCGAACTTTATTACTGGATGAACCTTCTACATTGGACTAAACCTCAGTTTTGCTCATTAGGACCATGATTTATTTGTTTTTCTAATATTCAAACAAGAAAGTTGTCTTAATACTTGGTGTATAACTTCATCATTATCAGACACATCACCGACACCATGAATTGGAATAAAGGTGGCCCTGGTACCAAGAGAGGCTTTGGGTTTGGTGGATTCTCGATATCAACTGGAAAGAAGGAAGAGCCCAAACTTCCTCAGCAGTCTCACAGTGCTTTTGGAGCCACAGGTTCTTCAGCTGGCTTTGGGAAGACCCCACCACCTCAGCTGCCTTCTTTTTACAAGATTGGATCAAAGCGAGCAAACTTTGATGAAGAAAATGCGTAAGCTACTCACGTTTTGCATGTGTATCCCTGTTAGATGTTGGTTGCAAAATTTACAGTTGGGATAACTGAAAAGAAATGGAAAGAAAACAAGCAGTGTTGATAATAGTTATATTTATTGTGTTTTCAAGCAAATATCACATAATTTTAGACTAGTGTCGCATGAAAGAACAAAACAGATTTTTTTGTTCCGTTTCCAAATTTTACTACACAGAAATCCCTTCTGTCTTATCTAGATTGCCCTCAGAAAGTCATTATGTTATATTCTTGGACATACAAAAAATCTGGAGGATTCAGCAGGTCGAAGATTGGCTTGTTACCTATTGTGATGTATAGGCTATTATTGTTATTCACTTTCCTGAATTATTCTAAAAATTGGATTCAAGGCAGCTTCAGAAACCAATGTATATGTTACTAAGTCTATTTTGAAGCTTCATCATAGTTCTGCCCAGAGATTTGAAAAATTGAGTGGAAATAAATGCTTATTCTATGCATTCTGTAGTAAGGGCCCATCTTTTGTCCAACAGGTTTTATGCTGGTTGTGTTCTAAAAAAATTCCACTATAAACATATTTATATCTTGAGATGATTCAGGTAGTTTTTATGAGTCATACTACAGTTCTTTTTGGTGAATTTTCAGAGTATTTTCATCATTTTTCACTTAGGGGTCTAGAAGATTAGTAATTTCTCACTTTCAGGAGGCCTCAGGAGCTTTCTTTGGTCCATCTCTTTGCTTTTTGCAAAGGGTAGATTATCTCCTTGTGATCATTCAGTCAAAAGTCCCTAATACTTGTAATTGCATGTTAATCATGAAGTCAATTTGTGCTAGCTGGTATTGGTTCTTCTTGTGAGTACCACATCTCCTATTTAGAAGTCCTGCTAAAGGAAAACTCTTTGTTTTTAAACTGATGGTATTGTTCAGTATGTGAAGGATGTATGAGAAAATTCTTCAGCAGCCATAGTAACAATTTACTGCATGATCAGAGCCATGTGTTCAACCATTTTGCTTTCCTATTAGTGTGGTTCTGTGTTGTCATTCTTTGGCATATTGCCATTTCTGCTTGCATCAATGCACAGCTACTTTGAGGATGAGGAGGAAGAATCCAATAACGTTGATTTACCATACATCCCTGCTGAGAATTCTCCTACTCGTCAGCAGTTCCATGCCAAGGCACCTGACTCAGATAGTGAGGATGACCCATTGGAGGCATTCATGGCAGAAGTGGAGGTGAGATTATGGAAATGATTGATCATCAGAATTAGGAGGTCCATGGTTTCCCCAGCTTTACTTTAGTTCAGGGATGGGAAACTGTAGAGGGCTTGGCGGCTGCATCAGTCCCGGGGGCCTTCGAAATGTGTTGAAAATGCAGCCCACATCCCTAGTGGACATTTTGGAGCATTTGGGTGTGGGGGTTGAAATTTTTGCAAAAATAGTGTTTGATGAGGATATTTTGCAAAAAAATATTTTTGACTCCCGAGGGCTGCATTTTGCTCACTCGTATCTTAGCAGGTGAAGCTAAAGTTTAGGTTATTTTATTGAGAAGTCTACATTTGCATGCAGTGAGGAATATTCCAAATAATTATTTGCTGTATTTGTTTACATGTTGCAGTGTTAGTACTAAAGTAGTAGGAATGAGGTCACATGCTACACCATGAAGTTACATTTGTTTTGTGATTTATTAGGATCAAGCTGCTAGAGATATGAAGAGGCTGGAAGATAAAGATAAGGAAAGAAAGAACACAAAGTAAGTTATTCTATATATCACAAGCTTGTTGAAAGAAATGAGAAGTTGATGGAAGCATGGGATCATCTTATATAATTTCTGTTTTAGTAATATATTAAGATTTTGCCATGCCAACACATTTAAGCCTTCATTGAACTTCAATAAAGGCTATAATGTAAATTATGAGGGTTGCTTTCTGTGGGTTGGTGTTTGGATGACTTTGCCTTGGAACAGGGAGCTAAATTCTCCTCCCTGATCCCTTTTTGTTGCAACATTATGTGAACGTCTTTTCTTTTGAACTTAGTAAATATGAAATGAATTCAGTCAGTGTTAATCTTTAAAATTTGGCAAGTCTCAGTGGGATGGGACTGGTGTAGATGTGTTTTATGTTGCTTCTGAATGTTGTCAGTGTTGAGTTATATTGGTGCTATCCAGATTGAATGTGTGGAGCTGGGTATGTGGAACATTTGCAGGGAAGTTTTGTTTCTCTGCTTATTTTTCCAGGGGTATACGCGATGATATTGAAGAGGAAGATGATCAAGTGAGTTCCCTACGCAATCTTTCTATCTATTAAAATATCAGTGAATAGTGCACATTTCTAATACCTCTGGGGGAAAAAAACCTGATTATTTTTTTACTATAAATACATGGGATCTTGGGGCTTTCAGAATCTTAATAGCAAAACATAGCCTCAGGTTTAATTCAGGGGAAAAGATGTTAATTCTGAATACTTTAAGGAATGTTCTTGGATCGTTAAGGTTAACTTTATTCCTCCGATGTCAGGCACATCATTATCAAAGCTGCTATATTGTGATGCCTTCAGCTAGGAATTTAAATGTGCAGCACTGTTGCTTTGGCAGGTATTAATCTTAACCCAGAGGAGCATGTGAGACATTTCTTAGTATGTCGTATATGTGCATGACATGATGAAATTCTGTGTAACCACCAATTATGCTGCTAGCTTATTCAGATCCAAAATACAGCAAAAAAATAAATAAATCCCTGTACATAGAAGGGTTATGTTTCTGCACAGAATTGTGTCATTCTCCTTGGCTTAGTTTTTTTGTCCTTTCCTCTCCCATTTCTGAGTGTTGGAGGAAATTGTGAATCTATTGAATTCATGCCCTACTTTCTCTTTTATAAGAAAGATACAATCACATAATCATTTGGCAGCTTCTCATATTACACATATAAGGATAACCCAGATTAGCTTGATATCCAATGGATACAATGTTGTCATGGAAGTGGAACAATCTGGACTCCATCTTCACATGAGCATGAGGCTTTCAGGGTGACCTTGACCAGTGGCAGGTCATAGCCTAAACTGTCCATGAGGGTTATTAGAAAATGTAAAGCAATTCACGTATGCCCACTTCAGTACTTCAGAAGAAACTCATAAAAACAGGGCAGCTATGTCATATTGGTAATGTAATAAGATGTTGAGTTATATCCTGAGTTCTTAAAATCTGAGTGAAGATTTCTTTTTAGGATTTCTAAAGATAGACAAAAAGGAGGAAGGTTTCATTATTTTCACATCTGAGAGATGCAAATTATTCTTATTATGGTCCTGTAGATCAGGCAAGAATCATTTGCAGCTGAGATAACATTGAAAACCAGTTTCACCTTTTATTTCCTTTGTTTCAATATGGTTTGCCTGCAGATGCGATCCAGTTTCTCAATCAACCCCCTTTTAGTTTGAAATAACTCTCCTTTTAAAATATACATGCCTTTTATAGGACGTGTTTTATAATCTGGTGTTATAAGAATATGTTTGAGGGAAATGACAACTTGGTAGTAAAAGGAATGCAGGTAAGTCCACCAAAGATACCATTCTGCCTGCTCACTTATGTTTTAGTCACTGTGGCATGTTGATTCTTTAAAAGAAATCCGCTCTTTTTCAATTTGGCAATTTCCCGTTTGCTTGCCTGGAAATTAATGGTATTTGCAACAAACCGGTGACCAAGAAGCCACATCAAAATCCTTCCTGAAGCTGGATTAAATGTGAAATCAAAAAGAAAGTGAGACTAAATATGGGCATTTGTGAAGTGATTCTCTTTTCATAGAACTTTACAAGTTGGAAAGAACCACATTGGTCATCTAGTCCATCCTCCTGCTAGGGGGAAACATATAAGCATTTCTGAACTGTGCCCATATAGCCTCTGTTTAAAGTCCCTCAAAGATGGCGAGTTCACCACCCTCTGAGGCAGTCCATTATACCAAAGCCCATCTTAATGTTTAGGTGTAGTCTCTTTTCTTTCATTTCTGAGTACACATTACCAATCATCCCTAAAACTGAGGCTAGGGAAATGGGTTTTGATACCCATTTGATATTGATGAATAGGCAAAGTGACAGGACTTAACCGTTGAAGTCCTGTCACTTTATCATTATTGAAAGCAGCCTTGTGGTGTTACCTGAAATTTGAGGGTGATATGCTCAGTTCTTTCAACTATCATATTGTGACATTTGAGGTTTGCTGCAAGGGTCAGGCGTAATTTCTTTTTATTGCAAGCAGTACAAATGATTACTGTTAGGAAGAGCTTTGCTGGTCATTTTTGAATAGGCATTATAATAAGTAATTGACCTACTGTGGCTAATACTTAATGGAAAAGTGTAGTAGCATTTTGCTCCCTTTGACATTTGAATGCAGTTATACTTTTCTGTTTTGCTGCAGGAAGCTTATTTCCGCTACATGGCAGAAAACCCCAATGCTGGTGTGGTTCCAGAAGAGGAGGAGGATAACTTGGAATATGACAGTGATGGCAACCCAATAGCACCATCCAAAAAAATAATTGACCCTCTTCCTCCTATTGATCATTCAGAGGTAAGGGAGGTTCTCCTGTCAGTAAGATAGCATCACCTCTAAGTTCTCCTAAAGGCCAATAGTAATGTACTGAATAAAGTGAGATAGGAGGAAATCAGCTTCATTATATGTCATTATATGTCTTCTGTCATTCAGTGTGTTCATTACACCAAGCCTCTAAGGTGGGAATGTGGAAATCTAAACAAATATGCATGATTTTGTGTAAGTCAAAATGTTTTTCCATGAACATGTTACTGCTTTGATTTACATGATGGTAACAAATTTTTGAACAGGGAATATATGTGATCATTCCATGACATTGGAGAAGTTCAGACAGAAGCAAAAGTCAGTGTTTAGGAGATTAGGTGGTGATTTTCTCTGACTGTAACTCATTGGTCTGCAGATTGAATATCCACCGTTTGAGAAGAATTTCCACGAAGAACACGAAGAGATCACCAGTCTCACTCCACAGCAAGTGGTGGAACTGCGCCACAAGCTCAATCTCAGGGTAAGATGAAAACAAAAGAGGCCGCTATTTGAGTGCTGAAACTTACACAGAAACAATAAGTGAGGTTATAATAAAATGAGAGACAGGTATGTTAAACTTCTAGAATGGCAATTCAAAAGAGAGAGAAAAAGTAATGGTTTTGCTGTGATACACAGAGAGTATTTTCTGAAAAGCACACCTTGAGAAGGTTTTGGAAGAAGGTCTGCAGTTCAAGGATCAATAAAGATAATTGTAAAACTTGTGAACATGGGGAAAAGGGCTGGGGGGTTGCAGGCAAATTGTTGCTTGGCTATGGTAGTGCATTACTTTCAATGCACCATGCACAGTATGTCCACTGGGATTTGGTTGCAGAATATCCCATGAATACCAAAAGCCATGGGTGCTCACATCTCATTATATCCAATGGCATAATAAAATTGTGATCCTTGTATAAAATTGCAAAACCAGTGTTTACTACTTGGACTTAAAATATTTTCAAGCCTTGGATGATAAAATCTGTGGATACTGAGGGCCAACTATATCTTTCTTCATGTAGACTGTTGACACAGGAATAGTTCTGGCCCTCTTTTAGATTCATTTTCCCCTCCTTGGGATTCTGTGGTCGTTCCACCTTCAAATATATACTCCCCAATGTTGTCATCGTATATGGCCTTTGACTTGCATGTGAAAAGACCTGTACATAGGGATATGATTTCTGTGCAACTGATTCATTTGAAGAAACATGTTAATTGTTAATTGCACTACCAGTCCATTCAGTGCCACAACTCTTTCTCCTCTCAGTATGTGTCTTCTGATGACTTGGGCATTTCACTCTTCGTTGTTCATTTAAGTACATTCGTTACATTTATTGAAAGGAGTGTTCAATAAAATATAAGGAAAATTGATCTGCGAGTGTGGGTAGTAATCCAAAAATAACATTATTGGATTACTACCCACACACACAGATCAATTTCCCTTATATTTTAATGCTATTTTTACTTCATTAAGCAGTTTCAAGGATGTGACTGGGTGAAGTCTAATTTCATATTGTCTGTATATCTGTGCATACCTTAAAATTCTCTCTGTCAAATGTTTCACTTTCTTTCAAGTGTGGAGGCTATGATGTATATATATTTCCTCTCTATTTTCCCAGGTCTCTGGAGCTGCTCCTCCAAGGCCAGGCAGCAGCTTTGCTCATTTTGGTTTTGATGAACAACTGATGCACCAGATTAGAAAATCAGAATATACTCAGCCCACCCCTATCCAATGCCAGGTGAGTCTTCCATTTGTGAAATGTGTTCTTCCTTTCACCTTTTCTGTTCCAAATGCCACATCAAACTTGCTATCCAACTTGTATATTACTCCAGAAGACAGGAGCAGAATTCAAAACGATCTTAACAGATAATAATAATAATAATAACTTTATTACTCTTTTCTGCCACCATCTCCCCGAAGGGACTCGGGGCAGCTTACATGGGGACTAAGCCCAACAACAAAATTAAATATAGCATAGTAAAATACATTGCATTACAAAAAAAACCCCAAAACTATACAAAAATCATAAAACCATAAACCATCAACAACCATAAGCCAAGCACAGTGGGTGTGTTCAGAGCTGGGTGAGGCAAGGGCTTGTGCAATGCAACTTCAGGGTGGGGCTGGTAGTAAAGTGCAAAAGTCAGATGATTAAATTAGGGCTAGAAGGGCCACGTCAGCTGATGAACCAATTACTCAAAGGCACATTAGAACATCCAAGTTTTCAGATCTTTATGGAAGGTGGAAAGGGTGAGTGCAGAGAGATTGGCCAAAACCAACAAAATTAAGTTCAACAGAGACAAATGCAAGATACTCCACTTAGGCAGAAAAAATGAAATGCAAAGATACAGAATGTGGGACTCCTGGCTCGGTAGCAGTCCTGTGAGAGTTGTTCAGCAGTGCAACTCTACCCTGGAGTGTGGTGGAAGCTGCTTCTTTGGAGGCTTTTAAACAGGTTGGATGGCCATTTGTCAGGGGTGGGCAGTGCCTTGAATGTAATTTTCCTGCTTCGTGGCAGGATGGCCCATGAGGTCTCTTCCAACTTCATGATTCTATGATTCTGAGTTTACACATAGAAGAAGTAGTCATTGGCCTTTAAAACTGCTTTACACCTTTACGAGATGAATTAATGTCCTATATTTAACTATTTATGAAAAATCTATGTATTTCCAGGATCCTTACAAGTCGATTTAAATGAATTTTTTGGTAACAGGGTACAATGTTGACATTTTAATGGACTTAATATTTTAAAACCCATTCCCTAGGTACAGTTGAATGTTGTTAATTGTATTTTGGAGATTTGGGCTTAAAGCACGGGGTACATTGCTTCTTCTGTAGGGCATCCCAGTGGCATTGAGTGGCAGAGACATGATTGGTATTGCAAAGACTGGAAGTGGGAAGACTGCTGCTTTCATTTGGCCAATGTTGATTCATATCATGGATCAGAAGGAACTGGAACCAGGAGATGGTCCCATTGCAGTGATTGTTTGTCCAACCAGAGAGCTGTGCCAGCAGGTAGACATATTTTTACATTTGGGTAGAGGAAAATTAATATTGATTTGGAACAGACTGTTCATATGTGGTGGCTCATTCTACATGCAATCCTTTGTTGAAACCTCCAGTTAATGTTCACTATAGGAAAAAGAAAATTAATTTCTATGAATGGTAAAGATAAAGGTTTCCCCTGACATTATGTCTAGTCGTGTCCGACTCTAGGAGTGGTGCTCATTTCCATTTCTTAGCCGAAGAGTCGGCATTGTCCATAGACACCTCCAAGGTCATGTGGCCAGCATGGCTGCATGGAGTGCAGTTACCTTCCTGCAGAAGCAGTACCTATTGATCCATTCACATTTACATGTGAAGTTTGGCAGAAGCTGGGCCTAACAGTGGGAGTTCACCCTGCTCACCGGATTTGAACCATCAACCTTTCAGTCAGCAAGTTCAGCCGCTCCGCAGTTCAACCTGCTGCACCATCAGGGGGCCCTTAATTTCTATGAAAATCCACCTTAAATTCCTTGATCACCTATGACCAAACCAAATAGAAAGGCTGTGAAAGTGATTTGCTATGTTTTCTAGGGAATACAGACTGAGAATCAAGAGACCCATGTCGATTTACTAGTCCCAGCCAAAGTAAATCCATTGAATCTATAGTGTTTATGTAATCAGGGCTGGATTAAGTGCAACCCACAAATCCTATATGACTCACCTCCTTTTGTGGCCCTAGGCCCCTCCTTGTACAAAAATGCTCCCACAACCTTAATATGCAGTGCTGGTTAGAATTAAACAAAGATACTAAAATTTGCCTGGATGATAAATTACCAGAAATTGAAGATCTGTAGATTTCATTTGCTCCTGACTTTGGCTTCAGATTCTTTGAAGTAATGGGAAGTTTTTTCCTGTTTTCAGTCATGGTATATGCTATTCATGTTCCTTCATCCAACTGCTTTTAGATCCATGCAGAATGCAAACGTTTTGGGAAGGCCTACAACCTACGTTCGGTAGCTGTGTATGGTGGAGGAAGCATGTGGGAACAGGCCAAGGCTTTGCAAGAAGGGGCAGAAATTGTTGTCTGTACTCCAGTGAGTATTTTACATGGCTGCTTTGGCTATCATGTGGGAAATGGGAACCATCTTTCCTTTTCTTTGAAAGTAGATAATTTCCTGTGATTAGTTCTCAGATATTGACTTCATTGATCCAGGCTCGTTATTTTATAAGAATTAGAAAATTGCAGGTTGGATTAGTCTGTTGAAATTTGCTGTGATGATGAGGTGTATTACATATTTCCATTCAGGGCCGGTTGATTGATCACGTGAAAAAGAAAGCAACAAACCTTCAGAGAGTCACCTACCTTGTGTTTGATGAAGCTGACCGAATGTTTGACATGGGATTTGGTATGTACCTAGTAATCATGGATTTATAATTATTTCACAAAATTGATTCATACTCCTCAGCTTCATGTCATCTTCTGGAATTGCTGTGTGCCTTGGGCATTCGTAGTGAAAGTTAAAACGGGCCTTTCTCAACTGTTAGTTCAGCATTGATTTACTGCAGCCTTACATAAACATATGGGATATTTTTGATGACATGGTGAGTATTAAGGGAGGATTTGTTTGCATGTGGCAAAATAGCTAGTAGGGAGGAAAGGAAATGGTTTGACATAATAAACAGTAGCAACATATTGGGACATAAAAAAAAGAATGAAAATCTAAACATGCCTCTTAGGGCTGTGAACATTGCTATCGGGCTGTGACATGTATCCTCTTATGATATTTGTGGTTAGCAAAGAAAGACTTCTCAGTAGCAAGGAGCTCCAGATGGCCCTGTAAAAGTCAATACAAGGATAGATTTGGTGACCGCTCCCAGCCATTGCAACTTCCTTTCTGTCAAAATCCAGACAGAAGTGTTTTCAGAAAAGCTTTCTTTTTCAAGTAAGAATTTTATGGTCAGGGAAGATTTTTTTAAAAGTGTGTGGTACTCTGTAATTTACTTAATGCCCAACATATGAAGTGGGGTATAATGATAGCAGGCTCCAAGGTGGCATGGAATACAGAAATGTCATCTGTTCATTACAAACGAGGGGAAAGCTGTATAGTCCTAAAAAACTGTCTGCCTTGAAGAAGGTGCTTTCCTAATTTCTTGATTATGTTGAGCATAGACAGGAGGCAATATCTCCTGTGAATATTTATGGGTTGAGGAATGAGTGAGCTGCTTCCTTTTTTTTTTTTTTTTACTGGATGAGCCATTGTTCTCCTAAATGTAATTGAACATTATTGTATTGCGTGAAGAAAGGAAAAAGTCACTTTCTCCCACATCTCCGAGATATAGAATGCTCTTCATAACAATAATCACCTGGGCCCAAAATGGGCACAAGGATATATACTGTTTCAAAAGGAAGTTCAACAGCATGGGGCAGTGGTTTGAGTTTTGGTTTATGACTATAGAGATCAGGGTTTAAATTCCTTTTAACCACTGGATGTCATTGGGCAAATCACTCTCACTCAATCTCAAAGGGAGGCAAAGGCAAACCCCTCTAAACAAATCCTGCCAGGAAAACCCAGTGATAGGTTTACCTTGGGGTTGCCATAAATCGGAAGTGACTTGAAGGCATGCAACAACCAAACAACATTAGTCCTATCAGGAGATATTATAAAAATCAATGGTATGTAATTAAGTTGTGACATAGGGCCCTTCCACACAGCCAGATTATTAAAACAGAAAATTCCACAATATCAGCTTTGACCTGGGTTTTCTGAGTCTACACTGTCTTATATTCGAGTTCAGAGCAGATGATGTGGGATTTGATTCAACTGTGAGGAAAGGGCCTAAGAATTCCCATTCATATAACTGATTTTCCCCTGATATCAGAGTATATTCTGGGTTTGGATACCAGTGAAAAGAAAATCCATCTTTATATTTCAGTAATTTGAGATTAAGGATTAAGTGTCATATCTTTATCGTCTAATTCCGGTAAACTTTGGTATTGCTTATTGTTGGCTTTTGAAAAATAGAAAGCAAATTCAGGCCCTTACGAAGTAATGCTAGCTAATAAATCATTATTAGCTGTGAAAATTCTAATAATAATAATAATAACAATAATAATAATAATAATATATTTCTAGATCGCCCTCTTTCCCCAGAAGGACTCAGGGCAGTTTACACATAAAAAGACAATCATTCAATGGCTCAAAGTAGGTAGAGACACATCAAAATAATACAAAATAATTGAGAGTAGCAACAGAAAATGTACACCCTAAAAACAAATTATGAGATATTACATTAAAAATGGCTGACAACAATGTTTAAGATGTATCATAACAACAGTCTAATATACGTAGATTAGTTGCATAATCTAGCCGTTCTATGTTTCTTATGCATGTTTTTTTAAGTGTCCCAATCTTAACATTTCAAAGTATTAATGTTATTTACAAGAGCTACTTATGTTAATTCCTTGATTAGTTCTGTGTTTCACAGAAGGATTTATCCTAAAATATAGCCTGCTCTCTATATTGCGGATTCAACCATCCACGGCTTGAAAAAATCCTTAAAAATCCCAAAAGTACATCTTCATTTTGCCATTTTATGTAAGGGAAAATATTTTAGTATGCCATTGTGTATAATGGGTATCCACTGATTCTGGTATCCGGAGGAGGGGATTGTCCCTAGATTTCTCCTGTAGCTGCATTTCAGTGTTTATCATAGCAAATTGGACTCTGTTTTTTTCCTCATCCAGAATACCAAGTCCGATCAGTAGCCAGCCACGTGCGCCCTGAAAGGCAGAGTGAGTATGGACTTCCTCAAGATGCAACATCTTAAAATCTACCTTGTAACGTTGAAGTTAGGGTTTCTGTGTTGTCCCATGTTCTATCTTCAATGCCTAGATTTACTCATTGGGAAATTATGTGACATATTAAGTATCTTGGCACACTCTTCTAATTAAAGAAGAAATATCCCTTTTCTCCCTCCAAATTTTCACCTTTCCTGGATTTTTGTATTCTAAAAAGCATGCCAGATCACTGCTTCTTCATCTTCCTTATCTCTTTTTGTTAGCTCATTATCTTCAAATATTCTTCTGCTGCAAAGAAAGTAGGAAGCCAGGAGTAATTTAAGATGGGACTTGATGCTAGATGCACCAGAGGCCATTGCCATCAACAGTGAGATAGTACATCATGCATTTTATGTGAGCTTATTTGAAATTAGAGTGCCTCTGAATTTTGTCAGAAATATTAAACATTAACCAGGTATTTTTAATTACAAAAATGTGAGTCAAGCACTAAAAGAGTTAGTAGACTGAAGCCTGTAGGAGTCAATGGGCCAAAGCTAGTGTTGTCCAGTAGGGCGAGGCCTGTTAACAACACCAAAGCTAGTGTTGTCCTGAGGAGTTTGAGGTAAAGCTCTGTGTGAGAGAAGCCTTGTGTGAGAAAGCCCCAGTGTGAAGGCTGCTGCGTGTAAAGCTACCATGTATTTCTTTATTTGTGTTATGGAAACCTTGTAAATAGTGCAACCATATTGTTTTACTACAAAGAAAAGCCTCCTATGGAAGAGAAAACATTGGTCTGTGTGTTTTTGTTCTTTTTATCACTTTGAACTACTGGTGCTGGGTCACGCTACTGCTGATAAGTTACTCTGCTGTACATTTGTGGGGAGGGTCTTTTGTTAATAAGCTTAACAGGATAGTACATCATGCATTTTATGTGGGATTATTTGAGATTAGAGTTCCTCTGAAATTCTGTAAAGTGTCCTATGCCATTGAATCACTCTTGACAATTCCTATGTGTCTGAATTCCAGGGGCTCTGGATTACTGTGGATGGTATAGTTTGTTTTTTTGGTTAACATGTATTCCAGCTTACCTCTGTATATATAAATTAAGCACAGCTTTCCTGGCTTAACAGCTCTACTATTCAGTGCAACCTTTCGGAAGAAGATTGAGAAACTGGCAAGAGACATTCTGATTGACCCAATTCGAGTGGTTCAAGGAGATATTGGAGAGGTAATATTGTTATGTTCCTCCTTTTTAATAGAAATAATAGTGTGGAAAGATACAAATAGAGAGACATCTGGATGTACATGGGATGGCTACCCCTTGCTCTGCTCTTGTGTGAAGGCATTTTCTTTATCATTGCTAAATTCTAATGACCTTATTTTGGCCTGTATCTGACTTCTTCTTGTACAACAGGCCAATGAAGATATCACTCAAATTGTGGAGATCTTTGCTTCTGGTCCCAACAAGTGGAACTGGCTAACGAGCCGCCTAGTGGAATTCACCTCTTCAGGGAGCGTCCTGCTCTTTGTCACCAAGAAGGCAAATGCAGAGGAACTGGCCAATAACCTTAAACAAGAAGGGCCCAGCCTGGGTCTGCTGCACGGTGACATGGACCAGAGTGAAAGAAACAAGGTCATCTCAGATTTCAAGAAGGGGGCCTTCCCAGTTCTAGTTGCCACCGACGTGGCAGGTAAGAGAGCATGGCCAGGCTTAACAGATCTGGAAGTTATTTCTTAAATCACAGCTTTTACTTTCTCCCTGTAAGCTGTATTGCCCCTTGTGCCATCCATTCATCCTAATGTCCTTTGCATATACCATAGTATGAAAAGTGCCGAATGTCTTTTGTGTTGAGTAGATATAGGCTTAACTGCTTTGCCACCTTTCTGCTTTAAATTTAAGTACTTCTTATTGTTCCCTTGCTCCACTGTGGAAGCCAACATTCTTGTTAGCATAAATAGAAACCAATGCAACAAGACATATGTTCTGTCCAGAAAGAATTTGTCATTTTGGAACCATACTATAATCAAAGCATTAGCCATTAATTGGCCTGAACAGAAAATGTCTAGGATAACATAATTGCTTTCAAGTGTTAATTGAAATTTCTTTAAAGTTGAAAGTCATAGAATGAAAATAACAGTTTGAATAGACTAAATTTAACTCAAGCCACAAAGGATTGATAAAAAGCAAAATGCACTTAGGGATAAGTATTTGTTGGTTTTAGTGTCTGAGAATTGCAGTGAATGTATCTCAGGCATGGGCAAACTTCTGTTAGGAATTGTGGGAGTTGAAGTCCAAAACACCTGGAGGACCGAAGTTTGCCCATGCCTGATGTATCTGAACTCCACCTCCACCTGCCCTTGACCCACATGTTCTCGCCTTTAGCTCGTGGTTTGGATATTCCTTCTATCAAGACTGTGATCAATTATGACGTGGCTCGTGACATCGATACCCACACCCACCGCATTGGTCGTACTGGCAGAGCTGGGGAGAAGGGTGTGGCCTACACTTTACTGACTCACAAGGACAGCAATTTTGCTGGAGACCTTGTTCGGAATTTGGAAGGGGCCAATCAGCATGTTTCCAAAGAACTCTTGGATTTGGCCATGCAGGTAATCTTGACTAGTGGTAAAAAGTTGTCTCCGCTTGTTCTTTGCCTGAAAGAGATGGATTGCACATATGTCAGTTGAGATTGTAGAACATAAACATTGCTTGTGAGAAATTTAACATGAACTTTAAAATAAGCTTTGTTGCTGTTTCCAGTGCATTCTTTTCTCTACTTGAGTTGGGGAGCTAGGAAGGAATGTAGAATAGATGATCTGAGGCAGCATAGTTATGTGGCAGAGCTGTAGTTTGGATCTGCACTCTTTAGTTTTAGGCTAATGCCTGCCATATATTTATGGCTTTGGGCAAGTTCTTGTTCATCCTCTCTTTGCTCATCTTTACATAGAAATAATTGTGAACCACCTACCTCATGGATGGAAATTATGTAGGCCTCTAAATGGACTTTAGTTCACATAACTGGGGCCCCTTCCACACAGCCTTATATCCCACAATCTCAAGCCAGGACATCCCACATTATCTGAGTGCAGACTCAGATAACCCAGTTCAAACAGATATTGTGGGAATTTCTGCCTTGAGATTCTGAGATATAGGGCTGTGTGGAAAGGCCCTGGGAAATAAACTTGAACAACATTTGGAAAAGTATACTACAGAACCACTTGAATAATGTGGGGTATAGTAAGGACTTTGCCAACTTGTGGAATTGTATCATTACTGGAAAGATGTTGGGGAGAAGCTTTTGGTCTGGTTATGACAGGTGGGAGACGTAGACAAGAAACAATTTAAATTAAGGGGTTGTAGATTTTTTTCATCTCACACATGAGATTTTTGCCTCCCTTTCTGCATCATTAAAATGGAATCGCTTCCTTTGGGATTTATTGATTATTTATTCACAGTATTTATATTCCACCCTTCTCACCCCGAAGGGGACTCAGAGCGGATCACAGAACACATATACGGCAAACGTTCAATGTCGTTATACACTGACAAGACACACAACTGTACATAGATAGAAGTGTATATAGGCTTTCCTATCTTCTGCATCGTGGAGGTTGTGCTCAGTTCTGGCCATGGGAAGGTGCTGTTGCTTCATTTTCCCTGCCAAAGAGCTTTGTTCTTAAACTTCCTCCTTCATCGAATCGCCAGCATTTTTTTGGCATTTCCTTATGGGTGCCTTAAATATTTCCCTGCTTAAGCAGTGCCTATTTATCTACTCACATTACTGTTTTAAAAACTGCTAGGTAGGCAGAAGCAGGACTAAAGGCCAGGAGCTCACCCTGACCCGGTCTTCGAATATCAACCTTTTGGTTGGCAAGATTTACTGCAGCTGGCAGTTAACCTGCTGTGCTATATTCCGAGATTTCCCCCCGCAGCTTTCTTTGGTAAATACAGCAGTCCCTTAATATCTACTCTGTGGATGCCCAAGTCCCATTATGTACAACAGCATAGTAAAATGGTGTCACTTATATAAAATGATAACATTGATGTTTGCTTTTGGGATTATATATTATATATTCAAGCTTCAGGTGTTTGAATCCATGAATAAATAACCTGCAGACATGGAGGGCATATTGTGTTGTAACTTAATAATTATACTCCCCTTCCCATCTGGTTATATATTCTTGACTTTCCTTTTGTAAATCTGTCCCTAATGCTTCTGTCTAGAATTGCTCAGCTGAAGCACAATAAATGTTCACACCATAATGCTAGTATCATCTTTCTGTCAGAACGCTTGGTTCCGGAAATCACGTTTCAAGGGAGGGAAGGGCAAGAAGCTAAACATTGGTGGTGGTGGCCTGGGATACCGTGAGCGACCTGGCCTTGGATCGGAAAGTGTGGTAAGTACATATTACCAAGAATATATGTACATCCATTCAGAAGTAAGCCCTACTGATTTCTGTGGCATCTGACCTCAGGTACAGGCATGCAGACTAATGTGGACCATACTTACTGCCAGCATCTTTATTCTCAACAGGATCGTGGAAGCAATAATGTCATGGTCAATTATGAGGCATATAAACCATCCTCGGGAGCAATGGGAGACAGGCTGTCTGCCATGAAGGCCGCATTTCAGGTTAGTGTAACAGTCTGAATTTGGACTTCTGTCACCCTTTTTAAACCAAGACTTGTGCCTCACCCTGGCCATGAAATTTACTTCCAGCTCATGTTAGAAAAAGAGTCTTGTCAACAAAAGTAGTTCTTATTAGAGAGATGGAAGTGGGACTGGGGCCAGCCCAGTATCCCCCCCCCCCCCACAAAATTAGTCTGAAGGGTAGTCCACATCCACATAGCAATAACTGAGTAAAAGCACTTGGGAGGTTAATTCATCCCCCTTCATCTATTTCATAGTTCCTTGTGAGCTCAGTAAATCAATTTAAGAGAGAACTCTTTGAATTTCTGTGCTGACTGGCACAGATTATTCAGTAAGGATTTATATTGGCCAGTGAGAAGAGCCATTGATGTTTTTCCAACAAGAGGAATGACTGAAATTCAAGTTTGTCCTTTGCATATCTTATACACAGAGATCGCAAGGGAAGAAATGCTGTCATGCTGGAGATGCTTGCATGCCAAGATTTGTACTGTAAAAAATCAGCCAAGTGGTTGCAAGAAGTAAACAAAAGACCAAAAGGGCTATAGCTGTTCTAGGAGACATTTCTTCCCTTTCTGAAAAATAGCAAATTTATATTCTCCCTGAACACGGGATATATCTCTAAAGCAGTTAAGTCTTCCATTGTCTCCAGCTGATAGATTTCCGAATCTTGACAGTTTCTGATATTCCTGAAAAAAAAGGAGCGATGGGGGAACTAAAAGAGGCGTATATTGCGTGGAATTTTTTTAAAAATTCTTCTCTCTCTCTCTCTCTCTCTCTCTCTCTCTCTCTCTCTCTCTTATAGTCTCAGTATAAGAGTCATTTTGTTGCTGCCAGCTTTAGCAACCAAAAGACAGGCAGCTCATCTGCAGGGGCCAGTGGGTGGACCAGTGCTGGCAGCTTAAACTCAGTGCCAACCAATTCAGCACAACAGAATTCGGCAAAATCTGACAGTCCCATGAGCCCAACAGGAATGGCAAAGGGTATACCTGGCTTCACCAGCAGTGGAAACTTAAGCAGCGTCCCCAACTTCCCAAGTGCCGGAGTTCAAGGGTTTAACAGTGTGAATGTCAACAACAGTGGCAAAGAAGGCAACAGTGGAGGTAGGGAGAGGTACAACGAGAATCGCGGCGGCGGTCGCCATAGTGATGGGCAACGCCATGGGGAAGGTGGTGGCCGCCATGGCGAGAGCCAACGCCACGGGGAAGGTTATCGCCATGGAGAAAACCGCCATGGAGACGGCCACCGTCACGGTGAAAGCAGGCATTCTAGTGGTGGGAACAGTGCCAGTAGTCGCCATGGGGAAAACCGGAACAACGGGGACAGCCGGAACAGTGGCGAAAGCAGGAACAGCGAGAATCGGAATAGCGAGAGCAAGAAAGAGGGTAACAACAGGGACAACAGCAAGACCGATGGTTTTGCAGTTCCCGAACCTCCAAAGCGCAAGAAGAGTCGATGGGACAGCTAAGAGCCCAGGCTCCCAACTGAACGGCAAGGTGCCTGCCCCTCTCGATCTCTGCGAGGAATCTCTCTACCAACAAATACTGTTGAGAAGAACAACGACAAACAGCAGCAATCCCCAACCAAGCCTTGGCTGGTGCATTTGCAAACAACTATACTTCATTGGCACGTCAGTGTTGTGCTGTGGTCAACAGGAAAGCATTCCCTTTTATGGAATTTTGCTCTGCTCCGCCTTTTAAATATCCGTCCACCTCAAGGGGGTTCCAGCAGACTGGTCCGCTTTAGCAAGACCCCAAATGTTTTTGTGCGTGTTTCCTTTTAAACTGAGTATGTCCAGATAGGGTTTCAGCAATTTGTTTTATTCATTTCAGTGTGGACTTGAGTTAACACTTCCCCCCTTTACCAATAGATGACCAGTTGCCCCTTTTTCATCCCCAAGGCCTCAAGTGTTTCTGCACCATTTTCTACTGATCACAGTGGCACTCAATGTACATGCTTGATTCCCATTTGTATTATTTGGCATGTACACTGCAGTTGTAGCATGAACAGTATCATAGGAGAAGATGTTAGGACGGATGGCTCTGGTGTTCATTGCAAGCAAATGATACAGGAGAGAAAAATGGCAGTCCTTAGCACAGCGGGGGGTCAGGAAGCGTCAGGTGAACTAGCCCATCTACACAGAACTTTGGGCCCTGCATGGAAAAAGTGTTTCAAAACTGTCCTAGTTGCTGGTTTACCCCTTCTAGTTGATATTTCAGGAGAAATCCCTATTTTTGTGTTGTCAGCAGGCAAGGCAGAGAAGAGAGGCAAAATGTTCAATCATTTACTTCATTCTTCCTTCTGCCTTGATATGGCGTGCAGAGAGAGAGGATATTTTGGGGTGTTGGAGGCAACAAGCATACAACTTGCAGTCAATACTGCTTACATTTCCTTCCATTGTTACCCCACCGACAAGGGATTTGGCTGGAGCTAAGGGGTTCCTATTACTCATGAATAGCATGGTATGCACAGTTTCAAGGTTAAGATGGCAGACTTCTCCACAGCAATCTGCTTTTTTACACCATGCCATCTTGAGTAGTTCCTTGTCGCGGGAAAATGTTCAGCGAAACTTAGCGAAATTGCATTTTTTTTAAAATGGAAGTTCTTGTGGCTCCAAGGTGATCCAATTTCAATTTAAGTTCAACATATGTGTTCATAGAGCTACTTTAAATATGCAGGGAACAGAAAAAGGTAGTGGAGTCATGGGGTTCTTGAGGCAGCAAGAACAATATAAATCGATTCTCTCAACAGCATTAGTAGGACTCTTGTGTAGTTGTGAATGTTCTAGAAGTTAACCCCACAGTCCCAGAGTAAAACTCGCTGAGGGTAGAGACTTTTGTATATAGTATCAGGTTATTGTGATTTTGGGGGCCGACCCAGGAAGGTTTTAAACTGGTTAGGTGTGGGACTGGCTGCTGAAGAGGTGTGTACATACAATGATGCTAAAAGCGTGGAAAAGCAAGCTGCTCTTTCCATACTGGTTGCAAACTTCTGGAAAGAAAAAGCTAATGTAAAAATGTTTTGATTTTGTTTTTCTCAAATGTGTGTTCTTGGGCTTTTTAATCTGATTCGGATTTTTTCTCTTTTTGCCAGAGTGGTAGAAAAAATCTTGTTTGCCTAAAATAGCTCTGTTTTCGCTTTCATTTTTATGATGAAATACTTAAAAGTTGTGTCAAGATTCCGAGACATGCCATTTACTTTACTTTCCACTTTCTCTTCTAGTAAATGTTTTATTATTAGGACAACTGTCTAGAATGTGTCTCTTTTTTTTGGCTGCTCCCCCCCCCCCCCCCCCCCCCCCCCAAGTGAGTTTTGCACTACAAAAAGATCTTGCCATATTGAGGGCTTTTTCACACAATATAGTTGAAGCATTATGTTTCCCGTGTAACTGCCACTTTAACTCACCTTCTCTCAGCACCATTTTCCGATATCAAAGCAGCAGCTCTGTATTTCCAACTGCCAGAGGGCTAGCAATATGTACGTATAACCTTAAAGAAAAGAGATTTCATATTTTTGAAGATACCAAATCAAAGTCTGCCTTATTTGAAAGCTTAAACTTGTCACTTGTGTGGTCCCTGTTAGAATCGGAACAAACAGTTGCTTTTTGAATGACATATTAAAGGATCATTTTCTTTGACGTTAGGAGTAATTTTCAGAGAAATTCTTCCAAACCTTGTTTGATGCTGTCAAGATTTAGATACTGTAAAATTTCTGTTGTAACATCACCATTAGAAGAAATATGCAGTGGGTTGCTTTGAGTTTTACGTGTTGTATGGACCACTAGGAAGGCTAAGCGAAGGAAGATAGACGCTTTTGAATTGTAGTGTTGGAAGAAAATTCTGAGAGTGCCTTGGACCACAAGAAGATCAAACCAGTTCATACTCCAGGAAATAATGCCTGGCTGCTCAGTGGAGGGAAGGATATTAGAGGCAAAGATAAAGTATTTTGCCACATAATGAGAAGACAGGAAAGCTTCTAGAAGATGATGATGCTTGGGAAAATGGAAGGAAAAGGGAAGAAGGGCCAACCAAGAGCAAGATGGATGGGTGGTATCCTTGAAGTGACTAGCTTGACCTTGAAGGAGCTGGAGTTGGCCACAGCCGACAGGGAGCTCTGGTGTGGGCTGGTCCATGAGGCCACAAAGAGTTGGAAGCGACTGAACAAATAACATGGCCATGTTCCAGTAGCATTATCTCCTGACTTTCACCGACATCTATGGCAGGCATCCTCAGAGGTTGTGAGGTCTGGTATGCAGTGGCTCTGTAAGTGACTGTTTTAAGTACAGCTAATGTTAATTGAGGGCAGGAGAGAAGCAGAGTGTTGTGGAATAGACAATGTGAGAGCCTTCACCATTGTGTAGATATGCTTCCCTCCCTCTGAAAACTAGACATCAGATCCCTTTTTTGAAAAATCTATAACACAGAATTAGGGTTGTCAACTTAATATGCTTTGAAATAAACATACATCTTTCAGTGGTACTTTCTTGACTGTTTGGGGCAAACTGAATAGTCAAACAATAATGTAATGCCACACTATCCATTGACAGAAGAAAATGGCTATCTTAAATGTGTGTTTTTTCTCACTCAAATAATATCAGAATGAAAAAATGCTTGTACATAATTCCCATTGCTTACTAGTTGAACTTGAAAGCTGTGGAATTGCTGTTCAAAGCACTGGTTGATTCATCTTCCCATTTCCTGCTGTAGCTCTAAAATGAACCCTTTTGATTGTAGCTTGACGTAAGTGAAACAATAGCAGAAGAGAAAGAGTTTTCCCACAACTCACTTATTGCTAAGGAGGCTGAAACTGATGAATGTGAAGAGATGATGTCCTCCTTTGTAAAAGAAATGGCATATTCCCTACACCCAAATAAAACAGAACTGTGCATATGTGGATATTTATTACTTCATCAGACCATGCTTGTATCGCCATTCTGGGTTCAGGAGGACTAAATGTAAATCTACAATGAACCAATTTGATAGCTAATACTCTTGGCTGTTTTTCATGCTGATTTTGGTAGCTGAATTATAGTAATTCTTCCTAATCCAATGGTAACTATCTCGTGACTTCATAATTTGCTTGCAAATTGCTTAGGGATCTAATCTTAGTCCACTAATATCACGTTCATAAGTTCTCTTTATAGCATAGTTTCTAACTCTTCTTTCAAGCTGGAGCAATTTCCCAAAACACTGATATTCTCCACATGAGCTTTCTGTGCCATTGTTTGCCTTGGTAATCCATCTAGGACAAAGGAGCCAGAGATGTATTCTGTTGCAGAAGCAGTGGGAGCTAGATGCACCAGCCAGTTTTTGGCCCCCAGAGGCATAGCTATAGCTGTCGCAGAGGCGATCCCCCAGCTAGCCATACTCAGACTGACACTGTTGGTGGCATGGGACATGAGTCCCCCATAGTAGTAGCTCCCTCCTGTGCTGGTAGCTCGGGTCTTTTGCTTTATGTCTAGGACCAGGTTTCTCCGGAAGCGAGCTTTTTTAATCTCTGCCTGCACCTGGGGATAGAGAGAGACCATAAACAGAATGCGGCATGGACAATATTGTCACCCCATCTTCTAGCAACTGACTAGATACAGTAGTCATAGCTCAAGATGATCAGTACATCTCTTCTTCACACTTCCTTCTCTGTCCTAATTCTTTGTTTACCTTCATTTTTATGTAACACCTTTTTGATACTGCTGATGGGCTCATCAAATAAAACGTAAGAGGTGTAACATCACCCTCCCATACCCACAGTAACTAAGAGGGGGAAGGCAAGTATATTGTGATGAAATGCAACCTTCATTCCTGAATTGCATCTGTTATCTGTCCTTACAATAAGAATATTGGAACTTTTGCTACTTGGAGTGGAACAAAACTACTGAATTTGACCAGGGTTGAAAGAGCCCTGGAGCTTGCAGATGTGAGTTTAATAATAATAAACTTTTATTTATATCCCACCACCATCTCCCAGAGGAACTTGGGGCAGCTCACAAAACACTCAAGGTATGACATGCAAAGTACAACAAATGCAAAACAAACCATACGAGTAGACAATAAACAATCAACGCAACATCATAAAATCACAGTACAGTAAAAACAAGGGGTACTGTTGTTGGTCAAAACTGGACAGCCATTTATCAAAATTGTCTGATTTTTGTGTAGAACTGCAGTCTAAAAAATATCTTGAAAGACCAAATCAGTTTGTTTGGAACTGTCCTCCAAAAAAAAAAATCTGAAAAAAACAAGTCACTCACTCCAGCATCATTAGGTGAAGAGGCTAAGTAAAATTAGTATGGGTTCTGGGGAAAATAATCCATTTTGTATATTAAATAGTTTCAGCTAAATAAGGTGTGGATCAATGAGAAGAAATACAACTCTAGGAGATGTACCTTACGTTTTCACAAAGAACATCTACATGTACTAGAGAGAAGTACCCCTATATTCATACATATCTATAGAAATATGTTGTTACTTCAAGAGAAGTATCTTACCTCACCATTACAGAAGCAGTAGATAAAAGCCACAAAGAAACCCTGTTCAGAGAAAGGGATAATGTAAGACATAAGACCGCAAAACAAAGACAAAATATCCCTTCCACCAGCAGGACCCACCTGCAAAGAATTGAAGAGCATCTCATAGTGCATCTGTACTTGCCAAAGGATGCTGGAGATGGCTGTGTATGGCATGGCCATGAACACCACATAATGGACACCAAAGAGTGGCATCAGGACTAAAGTGGATTTCAGTAACTTCCTGAAAGGAAAAGACTATTTTCAGGTCACCTCAAGATTCCCAGGAGGGCTTAAGCAACTCTTAAACTATGCTTTCTGGCAAAAACAATGTTATTATCAGGAGATAGGGAATGGTAAAATGAATCTCCTAAAAACAAGCTTGAGAAAGATCAAAAGTAGAAATGATTACTCAACTTGAGTCCCCAGATGTTGGACTACAACCCCCAGAACTACTCACCATTGAGAGACCCATATCTGTGGGTCCCTCTAAATCTGTCAGGTCCATAGCCAGGATTTTGATTCGGGGGGGGGGGGGGGGGGGGGGCTGAGTCTGGGTGAAAGAGGGTCTACCCTAGCAAACCTTTTGTATCGTTACCCCGATACCCCCATACATATGGGATATATTGAGAATGGTGGTCAGATAATGATATTAATAAAACAGTTTAAATAATGTACCAGTATTGGGGGGGGGGGGGGCTGAAGCCCCTATAGCCCCCCCCCCTCCCGGCTACATGCCTGGATGGTATGGTTCCATCCAGGAGTTACTATGGCATTGCGCTGGAGAACCCAGCAAAGTCTAGATTGATACTTCTCCAGGAATTTCTGGAGTGACTATATGTTATATTAGTACCAGATATTGGGCACTTTAATGCCATTGGGTCATTTCCATGGTTTCAGGTAACCAGTCTGACCAGTAATGTACTCCCAGTGGATACAGGGGTCATACTCTATCTTTGGATCCAGGTTGTGGAACCAGTGCACTAGGCAATGCAAAATTATTACCAGCATCTTCAACTGGTCTCCAAGTTTCACTGAGAACTTCCCTATTTCCTGCAGCATTAGAAGGCAATTGGCTTCTGCAGCCTTGTGCCACATACCTGTACTGTTGGCGGGGATCTAACGTCCCTGCATTTGGCTCCCATAGCTTTGAGGCAAGGACTCTCACAATATTGAGGAAGAGGAAAAAGTTCACCTGCCAGCAATATAAAGGTACTGAGTCAGGCATTCTTCATGCCAGTGGAAATGTCAAAGTTAAGTACATTCCTTATCTTTATTTGCTTAGATAATTTATCTACTTACATGGCTGTTTAACTTGCAATATGAAATCAACATACAATCAAAACTGAAAATAAACTCTAATCAGACAAACAGATGGCGGACCAAACAAACTTTGTCTTCAGCCTCTCATCTGCCTTGCCTATTTGGAGATGGGATTCTCGGAATCTTAGGGCCTTTCCACACAGCCCTATATCCCAGAATCCCACATTATCTGCTTTGAACTGGAATATATGGCAGCATGGACTCGGATAACTCAGTTCAAAGCAGATATTGTGGGATTTTCTGCCTTGATATTCTGGGATATAGGGCAGTGTAGAAGGGACCTAAGTTGCAACCATAATTCTTTAGAAAGGGGGCAAGGCTATGCATGATTTCTATTAGGAAGGCATTCTATAGTTACTGAAAAAGACGTTGCTTCTTAATGAATCAAAATATGTACCCACAATGGACATACCCTTCCACAACTATGTGAGTCAAATCATAAAACTCAGGAAGAATAAAAAATCATATTAAAAAAATAAAACTCAGGAAGAATCAAATTTGAAATTCCCAGCCACCATGACCAAGTGCGGGATGTGGGATTCTGGAAAATGCAACGGATGCTTGTACACAACCCTTAAAGATACAGAAGCCTTCTTTAGTTTTCAATCTGTCCAGTAACTGACTCAAAGAAAATCATTGCGTCCTTCCCAACTTCCCCAGCCCATTTGTTGTGCTCTTCTTACCACAATTGCGGCTAAGATGGGAATCTGGTAGATCCATTTCACGCTTCCAGCACTAAGGTCCCAGCACCTAATGAAGTGGGGCTGCAGTCAGTTGAAAAACAGGCAAAGGTTCCATCCATACAATGTACCTGGCTTGTCATCTTTGAGGCTTAACTTTGTAGTCCTAAGCGCCCTTCCACTACGTCATGTCACTGTGCATTGTCCAAGCATAGAAACTGGTTACTTTTGTATTTCTCAGCTCTGGGGAATGTAAATTAGCCCAGCCTTAACAGTGCCATATTTATTATTTATTTGAGGTATATGTATACTACTGCCCTTCTCAACCCAGAAGGGGACTCAGGGCGATTCACAGAGTTGGCAACAATTCAGTGCCATTGATAAAAACCAGTATAAAACATCAAAATTGACCCTCCCCTGATAAAACATTAAGCATTATTAAACACATCACATAAAATAACATCACGTATCACACAAAGACATAGTGGTTGTCTTTGTATATTCTGTATATAACTGTATATATATATATATATAACTACCATATATACTGATGTAAAAGTTGATACAATGCATGTTGAGATCAAGTTTTAGGTACAAAATTATAGATTTGGATGCAACCCATGTATAAACCTTGGGTCATTCTGCAAAAAGGGGAAAGAACCAGTGCTGCCTCAGGGAGCCAAGTATCCTTGGCTACCACCACCATTTTCCTGCCCAGGCATTTAAATAGCCAGAAGTTGCTTGGCCCAAATAAATAAACTGAATCTTTAAAAATGGTTAGAAGTGGCTCCATGGTGGAAAGAATAGGCTGGTGCTTCCTTTAGGTTCTCCTGGGATGGGCTAAGCCAGGCAAAGGCAAACTTTGGCCCTCCAGGTGTTTTGGACTTCAATTCCCACAATTCCTAACAGCCTAGGGCTGAAGTCTGCCCATGCCTGGACTAAGCAATTGCCTTTTGCCACTCCATTCAGAGAAGAGGGTAGTTCTGTTTGGTACAGTATTTCGCAAGACCAGTTGCTCTCAATGCAACTAGTGTAGTAACGGTGAGGCCGCAGACCATTGATGTTCTATGGACCGCAGGTTGGGAACCACTGCTATAAGTGAATGGATACAGCTCAGAAAATGTACTTTTTGTGGACTATTGTGTTCCTGAGTTCTGCAGGAATTTTAGAAGTTGTAGTCCCAAAAAGTCATTCTTCCAATCTCCTGCAATTCACATACTCTCTGCTTATTAACCTATCCTTCCAGTTTGCAATTTCATTCTTAATCTTCACAACAGTATATAAGAGAAGTAAAGAAGCCACGTACTGTGTATCAGCCAGAGATGCTCTTACGCTGGCCCAGACAGACACAAAGACAGCTGGCACCCCTCAAATTAGGAAGAAAAACAAAAGCAAGCAGAAAGAGGTCTGGATTTCCAGTGAGATCTTGAAGGAACAGTAGGTAAAAATGTAAGGCCAGTGGCGTGCACTGACTATGTATGTGTTACGTTGTTACTTTCATCCTCTGCTAGAGGAAGGATCTGATGAGACTTTAGACATATAAGAAGACATTATACAGTAGATAAAACAATAATGCTTGCTAAGATAGAAAGCAGTAGTAAAAGTGAAAGACTGCAATACATTCTCTTATTCAGAGAGTTGCCGTACATTGAAGTCGACTCGATGACAATTGACAACAAATGGGAGAAGGGATGAAAACTTCTATGGTAGCAAGAGATGGGATCCCTTTCAAGTATTCAGGTTGGCCTCCATCCCCAGTGTCTCTACAGTGTAATGTTAACAAATTAAGCATCTACAGAATCATAGGGTTGGAAGAGAACACAAGGGCATCCAGTCCAATACACTGCCATGCAGGAACACACAATAGTTTTGCTTGAGGATCCTTGTGCAAGTTGATGGCAGGAGAGGGAATAAAATGGACTGTGCTTACCCCACCCAATGAGCGTAAGGGCCCACAAGTAGTTTTTGTTGGAAAGGAAAGCCATGAAGATCAAGCTGTGGAGGTAGAGGCCTTCCACCAAGATCCAGTAGTGGTTGGTAGCCAGGAAATAGAGGAAGATCGTCACAGCTACCTTGCAACCTCCCTGAAAAAATGGAGAAATGCACACATGACCATCTAGTGAGTCCAGGTTAGAGGTTATGAATGCTTTGTAGCAATAGCCTTGATTAATTTGTCGGGGCCATGTACACGGCTTTATTACATGCCTTCCAACATTAAAACCAAAATACATGTGACCAAGGAGCATTGTGGTATTATCAATGTGTCTGAATTCAAAACACATCTGAAGACCTACCCAGCCAGTTTTCATCATGAATTTTAAACTATTTTAACACTGTATCTATGTATATATGTATTTTGTATAAATACGCTTTAATATGTGTATTTTATATAACGATTATGTGTTTTAGCGATGTTGTAACGCAGGGGTCCTCAAACTAAGGCCCAGGTACAGGATATGGCCCTTCAAAGTCATTTACCCAGCCCTTGCTCAGCCCTTGTTGTGTGCTTTCAAGTCTGAAATGACTTGAAAGCACACAACAACAACAACAACAACCCTGTCTCATCAGCCAAAAGCAGGTCCACACTTCCCATTGAAATACTAATAAGTTTATATTTATAAAAATTGTTCTTCATTTTAACTATTGTATTGTTTTAAAGTGGTTTTTTTGCACTACAAATAAGATATGTGCAGTGTGCATAGGAATTCATTCATGTCTTCTTCGAATTATAATCCGACCCTCCAACAGTTTGAGGAACTGTGACCTGGCCCTCTGTTTAAAAAGTTTGAGGACCCCTGTTGTAACGCTTCAAGCTAAGGGGAGAAACAGGCAAGAAATAGTAATTAAAAATATTATTACTGTCAAGAAGGAAAAAAGTTATTAATGAGGCAGAATGCAGAAATGATGAAAGACAGCTGCATGTTGCTTTTGCCTGAATTTAATGAGGAGGGCAAAATTGTAGCCACTCCTCCCTCCCTTGCTGAGTTAGTTGACTGCAATTACCTTTGCACTTTTAACTCATTTTACACCACAGCAACATAAGTAAGCTGAAGTCAAAGTAGGAAAATACAAGGAGAGAGTACTGGAGCACTTAAAAACAATGGGAAAAGTGGGACAATTGAGTTTCATCAGGGTTGTCTCTGTCAAATTGGAACAGTTGGAAGCTATGTATGCTAAGACCTTAAGGGAAATGGAAAGCATCTACAGACTCCATTTTAGGTAGCAAAAAAAATCTTGGGATGAGAATATAGTTTCCATACACTTGATCAAACACCATGGAGAAGTTAGGTTTTTGGATTCTAACTCCCAGACGTGCTCAGCCAAGAACACAACTAGAAGATGTTGAGAGTCTCAGGGCCACAAAACAGCTTTTTCAAGTTTCACAGGTGAGTATCTTTCTTATCCCCCCCCCCCCCCCCCCCCCCCCCCCCCCCCCCCCCCCCCCCGGAACCTGTTCCAGTTTATACATCTTTAAGGTGAGATGCCTGGAACTGGGTTCATTTAAGAACCTGGCACAACAATATTTTACTTTGACACTGAGAAAAGAACCATATTCTCCAACCTGGAAACTTACCAGCTGGGTTCTGGACCCCAATGTGAGGCTGAGCTCTTCAGCATCCCAGTCACCATATTGCGTCTTGTGCAACCCTTCCAGTCGTGAGGTGGAGTACAACACAATATCTTTCACAAAGATACTGATGGCTCGGCAGACAAAAGAGGCAAAGAGATGGAGGTGGATGTAATTCCGAGTGCAGTGAAGTCGCCTTGAACACAGAGGTACGTATTACCCATACAGGGGTTGATTTAGTTGTTATTTACATTTTCACCCCTCCAGTATAATGGAAATAGTTCTCTTCCCAGTTTATCTCCTCAACAAAGGTAGGGCTGGTGAAAAGAAAGCAACTGGTCTATAATCACCCATGCAAAACTGACAGCCAAAAGCTACAGAGTGGATTATAAGAAGTACACACTTTCCTTACTTGAAGTAGCAGAGGATGTACATGGCAACCACAAGAGAGACAAGGGAGATGGAGTAGCCCACAGTGTAGATGATGCGCAGGCGGTCAAACACTTCCTGCAGAGGGAGAAGAAAACATTCCTACAGAGATTGGGTTGTTGTAGGTTTTTTGGGCTATATGGCCATGTTCTAGAAGCATTATCTCCTGACGTTTCACCTGCGTCTATGGCAAGCATCCTCAGAGGTTGTGAGGTCTCACAACCTCTGCGGATGCCTGCCATAGATGCAGGCGAAATGTCAGGAGATAATGCTTCTAGAACATGGCCATATAGCCCGAAAAACCTACAACAACCCAGTGATTCCAGCCATGAAAGCCTTCGACAATACATTCCTACTGAGATTGATTTTTCAAGACCATCATCCTGAATCAGGATTGTGAAGCCCAGGCCCAGATCTGCTTCTAATGATCTTAATCCAAAGCCCTGAGGCAGTGGAGTTACTCAGGGAGTGCAAACTGCATTGGGCGGCACCATCAGAGGGTTGACACAAGAGAGGCTGTCTATGAAAACGTTTATGCAATGTTTCAGCAGGAATGTATTATGTTTTATAAATGTATTCCTTTCAAAAATCCAGCATACATGGGCTCACAAGGCTAAAAGTAGATTGATTTGCTTTTTGAACCTTCTAATGTACATGTGCTCCGCTCAGAGCTGTTATTCTTATCCAGTTCCAATGATGCTTTGAATCAAGTAACATAGTTGGTTTACTCACTAACTTCATGTATTCAGCATACATGTGTTTTGCTTATCAATCCAGTTACAAATAAGATTTGAAATAGTTTCTCTGTGTAGGTAACACAGGGCATCATCCTTAGAATCAATAGTGCATAGTCCAATGGAGGCTAATGACTTCTGTATAGCATACTGTTCCTACAGAAATCTCTACATACTGTTTCTGCTGGCGTTTGAAAGCAAACATCTGTTCCTACAGTCTTCTAAAGGCATGGAGTCTGAGCACTGAACAAGCCTAGACCTGATCATATGGTCTGTAGCCCTTTCCACAAGAAAGAATTAAAGTAAAATTGCAAACCAATACACACACATACCATACAGTAAGCAATTATATACATAAAAAACTAGTGGAGGCTTGAGAAGGTTGGTATTTTTAGCTATAATACTGTGGTCTGATTTGGTATGGGAGAAGGTTCATAGCACCAGGACTGTGGCACAGGAAGTACTTAGCGTACCAGAACAAGGAAAGAGTGCCATAATTTCCTTCTCTTCTCCCACATTTTAATTTAATTTAGTTGTGTTAAGCCATTTCACCTTTTCTTCCTTCTGCCGTTCCGGGGTGAAGAAGGTGGCACATTCTGTGTAATTGGCCCATGTCTTGTTTGTGTTGGGTACCAATTGCCAGTTGCCGTAGATTTCACAGTGTCTGTAGGCATGACCTAAAATATATGAGCAACCAAGGTTGTTCAATAAGAAAAACTTAAACAAGTGAGGAGGATAATGCAAGTAAGGAGCAACATTAAGGCCTTATAAATGCTTGGCCCAGGAAAAATATGGGGAGATTTGTGAGTGATGGAGTGATGGAACACCCTCCCTAGGGAGATTAGGCAAGCCCTCACATTGTCTTCCTTTTGTAGGAAACTGAAAACCTGGTTAGGTTCTTGTGGGTTTTTTCGGGCTATAGAGCCATGTTCTAGAGGCATTTCTCCTGACGTTTCGCCTGCATCTATGGCAAGCATCCTCAGAGGTTGTGAGGTCTGTTGGAAGTAGGAAAAATGGGTTTATATATCTGTGGAATGGCTGGGGTGGGGCAAGGAGCTCTTCCCTGCTGCAGTTAGGTGTGAATGTTTAGCTGATCACCTTCATTAGCATTTGAAGGCCTGCCTGAGCCTGGGAAAATCTGTTGCTGGGAGGTGTTAATCTGTGCCTGGTTTCTTCCTCTCTGTTGTTTAGCTGTTATAATTTTAGAGTTTTTAATACTGGTAGCCAGATTTTGTTCATTTTCATGGTCTCTTCCTTTCTGTTGAAATTGTCCACATGCTTGTGGATTTCAATGGCTTCTCGGTGTAGTCTGACATGGTGGT